AAATATCACAATATGAATAAAAAATCAAAGAAACAAAATTATAAACTTCCCGCGCGGAGCGCGGGTCAACTGCTAGTATTATATAACTTAAACCCATATGTAACCAATTTATGAAATATGCATATCATATCTTCTTCAAATATTTACTGCCTATTAGTCATTTTTTTTCTTAGACATAACAGAATAAATGTTGTTAAACTGTCAAAATTGATACAAAATAGTACTCCCTCCGTTCTATAATAGATGATTTTTTAAGCAAATGCACACATATTATTAAATCATTTAATTTTTGCTTATTTCTATATAAAAACATCATTTAATAACTTTATAAACACATTTTAAGCAATGAAAAAATAGTCTGTAGAATATAAATTGCTGAAAAAAATATAATTAATTTTGCATAGATTTTTGAGAAAATCATCTAATTTTGAAAATAAAAAACTAGGCCAAAAAATCATATATTTTAAAACCGAGGGAGTATGTTTAATTGCTCATATGGTTGCTAAACCAGTACACAATAATTCATGTAGTGGATGATTTAATAGCTTTTAATTTCGTTTTCTTTCTAATCTAAATTTCAAACAAAAATATTTTCTTGATTTTGAAACCAAATTCAAGTACTTTGCTAAACTTAATCTTGTTGATATGACTAAGACATAGTTTCGATGAATTATTATTTACAATGGCGTACTTGGGATTACATCCACACGAAAAAAAAAAAATGGTCCATATATAATTGAAGTTGTATATTGAAGCAAATCTGTGGGAATCAGTGGAGCCAATCAGCATTTGCATATGCCATGGAGTCAACATTGGTCATGCATTTCCCATCTAACTAGCTAGTCAAGTGTCATTGAAGCATCCAATATCGAGCCAGGCAAAAAACTCAATATTATATATAATTAGGTTTAGTGTAACCTAAAGTAAGCTTAGCTAAGCATGAATCTTTAATTTATAATATTCTGATCTCAAATGGTTTTGTAAGAAAATTTCCTCTGCCTAGGTTATTGGTACATTCAATAATTGCTTTGTGATAAAGACATGTTTCGTTTTTACAAAATAAAAATACTAAATGTTACCGTGGTTGAGCTTAGAGTATATATATATACTAAAGCATAAGGATTTGTGTTGTGAAAATAATTCAAATTTTTTTTGATATTGGTATAAGTTGAAATAAATCAAAATGTCTCTCTCTCAACACATGCATGACTATGTCTACATGTCAGACTGTTTTTGTCTTCCTTAGGTGATATCTGCATCATGCGCAAAAACAAAACTATTTATTTAATTTATAAAACTTATAATGTATGAAATATTTTTGACATACTGACATGGATATAACATAAGAAATAAATAAAAACTATGATATTGTGGTAAAACTATAATAACAGATATACAATGGATTTTAAAACCATGACATTTAGATTATGTAGTAGTTCTACCAATAAAATATATACTTCAAACTATTGATGGATTATAACATTACATGATTAATGTACACTTAATTTCTTATTGAACAAAAAGATTGATTTACACTTTGTGATCAGCTTTAATTATGATTTGATGTAGATAAAAGAATTTTTAAAAACACTCAACATGACATATATAACATTTTCGAGCCGAGGCATCACCAAATTAAAAAGCCTTCTTAATTAAAACCTGCATGATGACTTGTAAAACAGTGTATTTCTCCATATATAGGGGATTATACGTTTTGGGGTTGTTGATTTTGCATTATTATGTGTTAGTATAGCTCCTTTAATTAGTGCTTAAAAGTCAAAAATGTGGTTGGGCACAATTAAAGATGTCACAAGTTATATAAATGTATTAGCTAATAATGTAAAGTAAAAAATAACAATAACAATATATTGTACTTTCAGTATGTTACTTTCAGGCCTGTTAAAATCTTAGAAAACGACTGATTTGTTATGTGTAATAAGATGTGTTTTTCACATGTTCTACTTCTTATGCAGTGCCCTTGCAAGAAAATAATAAATGTGATGGTGTCAATTAATTGAATTATACTGTTAAAACTATATATATGTGTTCAAATTAATTGATTTTGCTATATATTTTTAAATTGCTTTGAATTGCTTTCATAAATCCTAACAATAATGTTTGTGTACGTACCAACTAGTACTGCATATAATCATCAAGATCCATTTAGTACTAGCGTATACTTTTCTTGGTCGAACATTACCATGTACCTTGTTGATATTATTCATTTGATATGTCTCCACTAAAACCCGAAGATTTGCCCTAAATAAAGAGAACCAGACAAATGTTCACGTAATCTCCACGATGAATGTTTATAAATAAATTTTTCAGAAAGATAAAACTCTTTTACTCTTCCATATATATATATGATAAAGGCATGCATGTCATATGACAAAAAGAGAAAAACATACAACTGTCTAAGTATTAGATCATCCATATGCTGCCTCCTAGTGGGACGCGAGTTAGCTAGGAACTTAATACTACACTTTTCTCCATTATTATAATTATTTCGATTGGAGAAAATATGTGGCAAATAAAATGAGACTTGTGGCTTATCAAAAATGACTAATAAAGAAGAAAGAAAATGAATGTGTGGATGTCAAAATTTGCTGATTAGGTGTGGTTTTAATAACCATAAAAGTGAATAGAAGTCAAAAGCTTCTGTAGATGTTAACTATATATATATAGAGAGAGATCGAGCTAAATCGTATAATGAACAAAGATTCAAGAAATATAAATGTGAAAGACTAATCTTTGTAGATAATGTGCAAAGTGAACTACAAAAAGAAAAATAGCTAGTAGTAAGTATTGCATTTGTTCTCGTGACCTTTACACATGATTCATAATTATTATTGATCGGCCAACTAAACATGTTTTTAGCTCACTTACTAAAAAATCGAAATTGACAATTTTTATAATTCCATGAATTTAAAATGCATCTCCATGGAGTTTGGGATTGGGCATCTTCTGATGGGCTTTTGTGTAGGTTTCATATTCACCTCAGCAAACATCTTATGACTTCTCTCGATGCATTGCATTCTATGAAAGGTCTCATTGGTGTCCAATTGTAATACAAGAACCATGCCTTTTGATCCTTTTCCAATTTGACAGCTGATGAACTTGCGAGCAGGACCTCTAAGCTCTAGTAGTTACTTTTATTTCTCATTAAACTACACGAGTCAAATCTATTTGTATATGTGCGAAATTCAACATCCATACTTCTCGACTATTTATTTCATTTCAACATCAATACTTATAGAACCGAGTCAAATGTTTAATCTTTCAATCATTAAACATTCTCGACTATTTCTTTTAATTCAACGTCAATGCTTATAGAACCGAATCAAATGTTTAATCTTTTTCGATCGTTAAATATTCTTGACTATTTCTTTAAAAAAAAGACATTATATAACCAAAATTTCAATTTTATTTTTATAGTTTTTAATTTCGATCATGATTCCAAAACGAAAAGCAGAATTTCGATAAAATTTTCGTGTTAACATTAAAAAATCTTCTTTTCAATTCTACAAAAATAAAAACACAAATTGCACATGAAATAAACATAATGAATGGTGATAAAAATAAATTTCTCTTTGAAATAATTATCACAATATAGTATTAATTGTTATATAAACACCCAAAACAAATTAATAAAATTCGTGGCACACAAATTACAAACGGCGTCATTTTACAGAAGATGTGAATGTAACATAACACTTAACACACGTATTGTAGAAACGTGACAAACCCGTGGTGCTTCTCAAATCACACAAAGAAAAAAAAAAAAACAAAAAACAAAAAAAGAGAAGATTCTCTTCTGTGTGTAGATGCTTCTTCTTCTTCTTCTTCATCTTCGACTTCTCCTCTAGAAATAAATATCTCACTCTCTTCGTTCTTTTTTTAATCAACGATGGCTGCTTCTTCTACTTTCTCATCACTACTACGTTCACCACCGTCACTTCTTTCCGACCACCGTTCTCCTCCGCCGTCTATCAGATCCTCTTTCTCTCCCTCTCCAGTTCCCAGATCGTCTCGTTTGAGTTTCACTCTACCATCAGACAAGAGAAACCTCGCCGCGAATTCTTCTCTCGTTGAGGTTTCTATCGGCGGCGACCGAGACCCACCACCACCGTCATCTGGATCAGGAGGAGAAGACAAGCAAATTGCATTACTCAAACTCAATTTACTTGTGAGTCTGTTTCCCAAATTCACAAAGATACAACTCTTAAAGTTAGCATTTTTTTTCAGATTTGAGTGTTTTTGATCTTTTTCTTGTGTTGTGTTTTGTTGTGAGAATTGTAGAGTGCAGTGTCGGGATTAAACAGAGGACTTGTGGCGAGTGTTGATGATTTACAAAAAGCAGAGGAAGCTGCTAAAGAACTTGAAACTGCTGCTGGACCTGTTGATTTAACTGATGATCTTGATAAGCTCCAAGGGAAATGGAGGTTATTGTATAGCAGTGCCTTCTCGTCTCGGTCTTTAGGTGGTAGCCGTCCTGGATTACCCACTGGTCGTTTGATCCCTGTCACTCTTGGTCAGGTATATGAATATCTTGTGATTCTTGAATCATTTGCTCTGTTTTTTCAAGATTCGATTTTTTTGGGTAGTTTATGTGCATGGTATGGTCTATCATTTGGTAGAGTCTTGGTTGAGCTTGAATGGTGTCATTAACTAAGATTCTTAGCTTTCTGAGGTTTCAATTTTGCAATGTCATCTATCCCGGACTGACTTAAAAGCAAACCTTTTTCTATGTTGTTAAGTTTATGTGTACTGTCTTGGTCTATCATTGGTAGTCTTTGTTGAGTTTGAATGATGATGAGCTTAAGGTCTAGGTTTCTTTGGTTTTGGCTAAGCACCAAGCCTGAGTCAGTAGAAAGGGAACTTCTTTGATGTTATCTCTTGTTTCTGAATCCTGAAAATTGTGTGGAACCAGGTGTTTCAACGGATTGATGTGTTTAGCAAAGATTTCGATAACATAGCAGAGGTGGAACTAGGTGCTCCTTGGCCGTTTCCTCCATTAGAAGCCACAGCAACATTGGCACATAAATTTGAACTCTTAGGTTTGTGCTCCCTTCCCCTTGCCTTACGCTTATAGAATTGTGTAAGAGCAAATTGTTAATCTACATTTTTTGATATTTATGGGGGAAAACAGGCACTTGCAAGATCAAGATAACATTTGAGAAAACAACTGTGAAAACCTCGGGTAACTTATCGCAGATTCCTCCATTTGACATCCCAAGGCTTCCCGACAGTTTCCGGCCGTCGTCAAACCCTGGAACTGGGGATTTTGAGGTCACTTATGTCGATGATACCATGCGCATAACTCGCGGGGACAGAGGTGAACTTAGGGTATTTGTCATTGCTTAATTCTCAAGCGTTGATATGTAAAAAGAAAAACAAAAAAACTGCTTCTAGCAGCCTCATGAGTTTTTGTACAAATCATGTGAACAGATACTAAAGCAAGCATTTTATGTAGAATCATGTGAGTGTCTGGTTGAATATATCATAGGGATCAACTTAACGACTTTGAAAATCCAAACTGATATAGAACTTTCAAATTCAAAATATTTGAACCATCTTTTGCAGTCTCACTGAAGATATATTTTCTTGAATTTTTCAAGAGGCTGATTAGAGAACATATTTGCAAAAAGTTATATCGATGGTCAATGAGATTAACAGCAAAACCATATCTCGATGAATCAAAATATAAGAGTCAACAAGCAAAGACGGAGACAATCTTATACGAGAGCTAAAACAGAAGGATTCCAAATCCAGCAAAGTACAAAAATTGTAGAAAATAAGATGAAACCAACTTAGAAAAGTGATGTTCCCTTCCCCTTCTTGTCTCCACCAATCTCAAAATGCTTGCACCTCTGCAAAGATAACAACAAGAGTAAGCAAATTACCAAGTAAACATAACCAGTAACAAGAACTTCAAGTAAAGATGCTTCTTCTCACCTTGATCGGGCGCTGAGAAAAGTGCTTGCAGCTCTGACACTGAAGCCTCAACACAATCTTCTTCGTGGTCTTAGCCTGTTCAATTCAAGATTGTATCCAAGTAAATAAACCAATTCTATAGGACTATGTTCTCACTGCTCCATTATACTAAAACTAAGATACAGGATCAATGGTTCTCTAAAGCTAGTTCAGATAGCAAAACTTTTACCTTCTTGTGGAAGACAGGCTTAGTCTGACCACCATAACCAGATTGTTTACGGTCATAACGACGCTTTCCTTGAGCAGCAAGACTGTCTTTACCCTTCTTGTATTGGGTAACCTTGTGCAAAGTATGCTTCTTGCATTCCTTGTTCTTACAGTAAGTGTTCTTGGTCTTTGGAATGTTCACCTTTCATATTCATAAAACCCATAAAAATGTATCAGTTCAGCTCAGTTCACACAGATACATAATCAAAGAGACTTTAAAGATTAGATTGAAAACTTGTAATGATAGATCTGGAAAACAAATGAACAATAAATCAATCAAACATGTATTGTTGTTGTTCTTCAAAGATCTTAATCTCAGAACTGAAACGAACGCTACGAATTTCAAATCACGTTGAGAGAGATAAGAATTTTGTTTTACCATTTTCGCGTCTCCTCTGCTCTCCGGTGAAGCTTGTGTGCCGTCGTCGTCCACTAGACGAAGATGTTTTATAGAAAAGGTTTTTATAGTACAGTTTCTAAAAAACCCTAATCCCTATTTGGGCTTTAGTAATACAATTAGGCCCATATTTGTAATATGTGTGCTGGACATAAACAAAAAAAGGCCCATTTAACGAATAAGTTTTGTTTTAACTTTGGTTTCCTTCGACTCCTACCAAACATGTACTAAAAAAAAATTGTCTGATATACTAAAGGTTGGAATGATAACGGCAGTCACATGGATGAATCCGTCAGCAGTTCAGTCCGCTTTATTTTTAGGACGGAAAACAAACTGTTACGGACCAACTCTATTTGTATGTAAAAATGATCTGGAGTTGGTTTGCGACGATTTTCGTTCTATTTTCTTTGGACCACACTATTACGGATTATATTTGATGAATAGTAAAATAAAAGTGATCTTATCCACATACAAATATTTCCGTCTTAATAGATGCATCCATTCGAACCCTAAATGAATCCTAAGAACATAACAGAAAAGGTTGCTTGTGAATGAATAATGTGAAGAGTGTTTAAGCAATCATACATTTTTCACATCCCTGATTCGTAATCATCAAAGGGTTGGTCTTTTTCTCAACTTGATATACAAAACATTGGTCTTGTTGTGTGTTTTCCAAACAAAAGGTAGAGAAAAAGACAAAAAAGTGTGTAGATCATGAGAAGAAAAGCAAAACCACCACTCTAGTCTAAACTTGAATATATAACACTCTTTTCTTTGTTTTCCTCTCTTCATCTTTCATCTTCCTGTAGAACTTCCAAGACCCGCATAAGGGTAAACCGCTCTCACGGATATATCTGTTTCTTTCGACTTTTCAGGTCCAATGGCTTGAGGAGGTTCACCTCCTCCTCCTCCTTCTCCTCCTGCTGATCCTTTTGACTTCCTCTGTCTCGAAGATTTTGGTCCGATAGTCTGATCTGTCTGTTGAGGTAACTCTAACCCTGAACCTGACTCTGACCCTGAACCCATGTTCTGTTCTCTCTGTTTACCCGTACTACGTCTTGATGGCCTCATTGATCCTCCTGCCCTTGATGGAGATTCTGAAGGTGAGTTGTTTCCTGTAGATGTTTTACGTCTCGCCTTGTTTCTATGCTTCTCCCCTGAACTCCCAGGTTTCTTGTTAGAGCTTCCTTTCGTCTCAGTCTTAGTGCGGTCTTGTGACTTGAAATCATGCATCTGCATGTTCCCATAAAAAGTATTTGATAACCTAATCCACAAGCAAAACGTTATATCAATTGAAAGAGAAGGTTATATATATATACCCAGCTTGGTGTGGTTGCAGAAGGACCTTCCCATCCTATATGAGCGACATGTTTTACATCGGTCGGTATCCCAATCTGCATCTCTGGTTCCTTCTCATCCTCTACAACATTTTTTTTAGAACAATTATTAAGATTTTTGGTGCATGATTGTATTGTAGACATGTATGAGTTTGTTTCAAGAACAAATAATAAACTCACCGAAGATACGAGTAATGTACCTCAACCCTTTTAATAGACCCTTCATTTGTGAGAGGTAATATTCAACTTGCAGCTGCATACCTAGCTTCCACACCAAGCAAAATTACAAACCATTTTTCATAAATTCAATGCTTTTTGAAATATAGAGATCCTTCTCCTTTTATCTTATACAATTGTGAAATAAGAATCTTACGGGAAAAAGAAAAAAAAACAAAAGAAGAACTCACATGTTTGGAGTAGATAAAACCATATTAACAAAGAAATGGATTCATATAAATTCCCAAAAGCTATGAGTTTCTGCAAATTTGAGAGGAATATATAAACAAACAAGAAGTGTGTAAAACAACAAATTTATTGATCTTTATTTTGGAGAAGAGAGAAAAAGAACAAGATCATACCTGGTTTACAAAAACTTTACAATGTTTTGTTCTTAAAACTAATTTCTGAAAAAAAAAAATTCGCAAGGTTTTTGTGGTTTTTTTTTTTTTTTTGGTCTCAACTTCTTTGTGTTTGTTTATTTTGTTTTCTTGTTTTGTTAAAGAAAGAGAGAGGTAACAACGTAAGAAGAAAGAAATCCCAAAAATCTTGTGTCCTCTTTGTTGTTAGATCACAAAGGCTCTCTCTTTTTTTTTTTCTTTTCTAATTCTTTTTTTACATATGCCTAAAACCTACGTGGTGGATAACTATTGGATGTAGAAGTTGCAAGTCAACGGATAGCCAGAAGATTTTGTTTCCCTTATTTGGTGGTTTCAATGCAATTTCTTCAAATCCTATATTAAGTTGATGTGAATCGTTGTGTTTTTTACTGGCAAACGCGGGAGATACGGTTCTTTTGTTTTTTTGAGAAACCGAAAAGTAAATCTCTAATCATCTTATTGAGTATTTGTGACGACGGTTGGAGCATATAAATTTGTATGTGAATTGGACCGTTTTTTTTGTATTTATAAATTATAGTTTATAAGCATTCAAAGAAAATAGAAAAAATTCTTCACGGAAAAAGTATAAACTGGTTTAACATATAAATAAATTTGACGGATTAGTCCGTTTTACCCATAATATCCATTTAAAACCTTAGTTTGATTATTTACCACCGTAAAACCTCTATAAATTAATACTCTATAAATTAATAAACACTATAAATTAATAATCACTATATAAGTATTTCAGTTGAATTATGCTTTTAGTTTTTTTTTTCTAAAATGAATTTCTCCTAGATCTCGTCTCTATAAAAAAAAGTTATGTATTTTTAAAGTATAATTTTATAATATATTCCATAACATCATAAAATAACAAATTTTTTGTTGTATTTATAAATATGCATCATATTCATTTTTTGTTTGTTTTATAGGATGTTAAAAGATTACAGTTGAGGTATTAATCATAAATTTGAATTTATGTATGTACTTTGTATAGAAGTGAATTCATTTATAATATTTTTAATTCATTGTTATTTTTTATATAAATATAGGATTCAATTCTAAACTATGAAATTTTATACAATCATAAAGACTAATCTTATTTTGTAAAATTGTCCCAATTCATAATTTCAAAAAACTTTAAAAGTTAAAATATCATTATAAAATAATAATTATTAATTTACAATATAAAATAATAAATATTAATTTATAGATAAATTAAAATCACTATAAATTAATAAAACTCTGTGGTCCCAACATTATTAATTTATAGAGGTTTTACTGTATATTTCTAATTAGTTATGACTTACATCTATATAGACTTTTGCAATACTAGTTTTAATCATAGTCAAATAGTCAACAACTTCCCAACAAGGCAAACTCAATTATAAATACAAATTTTATTTTAAAATACACAGAATTAAAAATTATATATAAAGAATTAGAAACGTGAAACTATATTATTAATTCTGACATCTTATGAGATGATGTCATGTCTTGCAAGCATTAGTTAAGTTGTTGTCGTCGTTGTTAAATACCAGTTTTCTTGGTGAAATTAAAGCCGAGAAACTTAAGGAAACCAAACACAATCGCTATGAGGCACAATGCAGCGACGACGCCTATCAAGATTTCAATCCAGAACTCCATTTTTATAAACCTTTCGTAAAGAGATCTTGTTTTCTTTGCTATTAGAAAGTGGAGTCTGAAGCTAAGTCTGCATTTATATTGTTTGGGAAAGTGACCTATGCATGCATGGTTGGATTTGAATCGCATTATATATGCTATATCTAGTGTTTGTGACGGTTGGAACAAAACCGTTTGTGAATTAAACCGCTTTTTTTTACATTTATAATGTTTGAATCAAGGAAAGTAGTTAAAAATTGTCGCAGATAATATAAACCGTTTTTACATACAAATAAATTTGACATATTAGTCCGTTTAACCTATAATATCAGTTCAAAACCTTAGTTGTGATAATTTACTATATTTCTTAGTGATAATTTCTTATTTTTTTCGTCAAATTTCTTAGTTATAACTTTTTTTTTGTTTCTTTTTTTCTTTTTGTTTTTTTTCTTAAGTTATAACTTATATCTATAAAATTTTGCAATAATACTAGTTTTTATCATAGTCAACAACTTACCAACAAGGCAAATCCATTGATAAATAGCAAAATTATTTTAAAATATACATGTCACTTAATTAAAAAATATATATATAAAGAATTAGAAACATGAAATTATATTATTAATTCTGACATCTTATGAGATGATGTTATGTCTTGCAAGCATTAGTTAAGTTGTTGTCGTCGTTGTTAAATACCAGTTTTCTTGGTGAAATTAAAGCCGAAAAACTTAAGGAAACCAAACACAATCGCTATGAGGCACAATGCAGTGACGACGCCTATCAAGATTTCAATCCAGAACTCCATTTTTACAAACCTTTTGTAAAGAGATCTTATTTTCTTTGCTATTAGAAAGTGGAGTTTGAAGCTAAGTCTGCATTTATATTGTTTGGGAAAGTGATCTCTGCATGCATGGTTGGATTCGAATCGCATTATATATGCTATATCGAGTGTTCGTGACGGTTGGAACAAATCCGTTTGTGAATTGAACCGCTTTTTTACATTTATAAAATATTATTTATAATGTTTGAATCAAGGAAAGTAGTTAAAATTTGTCGCAGATAATATAAACCGTTTTTACATACAAATAAATTTGACAGATTAGTCCGTTTTACCTATAATATCAGTTCAAAATCTTAGTAGTGATAATTTACTATATATCTTAGTTATAATTTCTTATTTTTTTCGTCAAATTTCTTAGTTATAACTTTTTTTTTGTTTTTTTTTTGTTTTTGTTTTTTTTCTTAGTTATAACTTATATCTATAAATTTTTGCAATAATACTAGTTTTTATCATAGTCAACAACTTACCAACAAGGCAAATCAAGTGATAAATAGCAAAATTATTTTAAAATATACATGTCACTTAATTAAAAAAAATATATATAAAGAATTAGAAATATGAAATTATATTATTAATTCTGACATCTTATGAGATGATGTTATGTCTTGCACGCATTAGTTAAGTTGTTGTTGTCGTTGTTAAATACCAGTTTTCTTGGTGAAGCTAAAGCCGAGAAACTTAAGGAAACCAAACACAATCGCTATGAGGAACAATGCAGCGACGACGCCTATCAAGATTTCAATCCAGAACTCCATTTTTATTAACCTTTCGTAAAGAGATGTTGTTTTCTTTGTTAGAAAGTGGAGTTTGAAGTCTGCATTTATATAGTTTTGGAAAGTGACTTCTGCATGCATGGTTAGAATCACAATATGCTATATCAATAAAACACATGGCACATTAAACTTTTGACTTAATTTATTAAAAAAATCTTTCAAGGAATCAAGATTTTCTTCAAAAGATTACTATAAAAAGCTATATTTTAGTAATTATTTTATCTTCTTAATTAATTTTACAAATACATGTTTCCATTCCATAAATATTTATATATATATTTTTAAAATAGATATTTTTTTCTCTCAATAATTGAATTTTATTTCTGTTGAAAATATAAATAAAATTAATTAAAATATAAATAAAATTAATTAAAAATCTCTAAAATTATAGATTGAAGTTTTAATTTAAACTATTTGTATAAAAATCATAAATCCAATAATGTAATGGCTATCATATCGTCTCACCTTAGACCACCTTCAACCATGAAAGCTTTTAAGGGGTACTTAAATCAAAGAAATATAATTATTTTAATATAATTTAACAAAAAAACTAAAATTTAATGAGAAAAACAAAAATATAGCCAACAAAAATGAGACTTGTGTTTGATGAGATACTTAAATGGGTTCCAAAGTCTCTTTTTTGAGCACCCCTCTTCACTCTCTCTCTTCCATTTTTATTATTTTTATTTTTTTAATACTATGAGATTCATGTAAACACTTCCCACTAAAGGTGCTCTTAGACCTATGAGGAAAAGACATTTTTTTTTGTAGTTTTGTTTTCCTCTTTGCTTCACACCCCGGCTCAAACATCTAATAAGAGCCTTACAAAACAAGCCTTTTAAAGCATGCTAAAAACAATAGCCATTTCATCCGAAGCTTCATCTAACTATGTCTTAAACTCCATGTCTTCCGCTACCACATTGCTTAAATTGCGCTGTATATGATGCATCTCTTTCTCGTGGATCTAAAAAAAAAAGCAAAATCCAATAGTTATTTCGAAACAAATAAACGTTTTTGACTAGCTCTAATCATCAATGACAATTTCAAAGTCTATGCTTTATTTTTTGGTAAAAAGGTCTATGTTTTCTAACAAACTCAACAAATGCTATTCTATGTATTGAAAAGAGTTTGTTAGAAAGCATAAACTTTGAAACTATCATTCATGATTTTGCATCAACGAAAGCTCGTTAAGAACATTTCTTTGTTTAAAAATAACTGTTGAAATTTTTTTGTTGTTTAATTTTAGATTCAACGAAAAAGAAGATGCATATATATATATATATATATATATATATGCCGCAACTTAAAGCAATGTGGTAGCACAACACATGGAGTTTAAGACATAGTTAGATAAAGCCTCGGATAAAATGGTTTTTGTTTTTAGCATAGTCTTTTTTTGTAACTCGTCCTGCGTCTCGGATGTTTGAGCCAGGGCTGTTCACAACTAAAACAATAAACTCGATCCATAGTGTTCCTTTTACATTAGTTAGTAGTTATAAGAAATACATATTTTATTTTTATTATTGATTAAACTGAGAAACTATAACTAATAGCAAAACTAAAACGCATACAATATGTTATATGTCATCATTTATATAAATATTTCTTGAAAGAGATTTCGAAATCTGCACTATGTAGTTAAGTCCCTCTCCTTCACAACGTACGCATTAGCCTTCGTCCTCGTCCTTCATATGCCTTCCGGTGATACACAAAACGCAAGAACACACTATCATACAGAGGAACACTGTACTGCATATAGCTAATGCCACTATCATCCATACTTCCATCGTTATTATTTGTACAAAACTATAAAAGAGGTTAGATATGGAGTTTATAAGTTTTTTACAAACTTAATGTTTTTTCCTGCCTTGCTCTCTCTTCTTACAACATCAATGTCTTAATATACAATTGGATTTTAAAGGAGTTTTGGTACTGATGATGAAAGAATCCCAATTTTATTAATAATTTGATATTGTGTCTATCAGTAATTGGGGTACGCATGGTGTTTATCCCTAAACACACAAATTAAATCACTTTTTAAACTAATTTTGTGAGATAACTTATTAGTAGAAGAAATGAGACATTTATAAAACTTTTAGTAATCTATTAAGCTTCTTAAATAATTTTACAAATTTTGTTTTACATTTTTTTCTTCAATTGAATTCCATCACATCATATTTTGAAATTTTCCTTGATTTGTATATCTAGAAAACAAAACCTAATCTCTCGAAATTTATAAATTAATTTATTGTAAATAGAAATGGAAAAAATCCATTGCAACATAATATAACCTTGATAACTAATAGAGTTTTTATAAAAAGATAATAATGTATTAATCTAATGTTTATCATATTTGTGAAAATGGATTTTAATTTGGTCACTAAAGAAAAATGCATTTAATTTGTGTTTAACATCGTAACTAACGTTTATGAGAAGTGTTTATAAAATATTAGGTATTATTTTGATATAAAATTAAGACGCTTTATAACTGATATATAAAGTTTATATATAAAGAGCATACATGTATTAATCTAATTTTTATCATATATATATATATATATATATAATCCATCAAAGTTAAATGTTTATCCTTAATTATTATCCATTTATGAATGCATTTTGTATTTTGTAATGCAATGTTTAACAAATGTATCCTCTCATGTAGACATATATACACTAGACTAAATAATATCATTCTGAAAATTATCCTTTTATGATATAGTAGTTGTGTCTCATCTTATCCATCTTTTCACTTAAATTAACAATATACAAGTTGTATTTTGGAGCCAATTGTGAAAATTGTATAGTTTTGGTCCAAATGGCATAACCTAATAATAAAAATAACTTTCTCGTAGGTGGTGATATTTTTCTCTATTCATTTGGATAAATATCTATAAACTCAGTTATAATTAATGTAATTATAACTTAATACAAGACATTAACAAAAGACTTCATATACCAAAATTACTTACCTGTCGTTTGAAAAAATGTAAAATTCAAAGTGGTTAGCTTTAGCCTTAAGGAGTGGGCACGAACCAAATCATTCTTAGGAAAATCCAAAATTTGTGATCAGCTCCGTTGTCATATATCTAATTTTGAGATGTGGATATTTGATTCCTCTTTTGATTCAATTTGACCAAAACAATGGCTCTAGACTCTAGCCTCTAATCTTGAAGAGTTAAATATTACATGAAGCTATCTAGTAAATCTTGCATGAGTGTGTGGTAACTAGTTGCATCTATAGGCTGCTCAATCTCTCTCACCAGATTCCGGATAACACTTTTCACGTATCTCTTTCCTTGAGGATCTCTCCACAAAAGGCTCAAAATCTCAGGAGGTATTACTGCTGTTGCAGCTCGAACCACCAACTTGTTACCATCTACCTCCATACCATTCAAGCTGTTTAAAGAAACACAAAGACGGGTCAAGACTTTTTGCTCGTATTATGTTTCATTAAATGGATGTTTGGTTTCTGGTTCTACCTGTTGAGAATGCTGAGCATGTTTGGCCACTCAGAGACATCGAAACGCACATCTGCGATGCCCTTTCCCCTGTGGTACACCTGTTTGATCTTTCCATAAGGAACACACAATGCTCGTACATCTCCCATTGCTGATCCCGAGAAGTTTGAAAACCTTGCCACGGTTGTCCTCGGTATATCAATCCTAGAGATAAACAATTGTGTGTTGCATATGCTGACTGAATGCCCTGCAAGTGCTCTCTCTTTGCCATCTTCCGTCTGCAACACAAGTAGACAAATTAGCTTAGCTGGATTTGGCATTTGATTCTAAGAATAAACAAGAAAAGCTACAATAAAACCACACCTCAAACTCAACAAACGCATCTGTTCCCGCTGAACCCAAGATAAACTTTGATATGTTGCTCCTACAGAACCTCAGCGCTTCTTTGATCTGATTCGAACTAAAATCATGTGTCATCGGATGAATTTTAGCTGTTCGGGCTGGTTCCTTCACCAAGGCAATGGGCACATCTGGATCGCCAATGAGATCCGGAATACATATGGTTTCTACCATGTCTTTTTGAGAAGCTGCCTCAACACATACACTGTAATTCTTCACCATCACACTAACTTTCTTCAGAGCATCCTTGACTGCAGTTTTAGTCTACAAATATGGAAGCAAAGAGCAGGTGAGCAGAAAAAACACTTTTTAAGAAGAAAGTTTAAACAAGAAAACAGTGCGACTTGTTTCTCGAGATAGATCATTCAAAATAAAATAAAAACACAAACCTCAAAAGTTAAGAGAGCATCTTTGTAAATGCACCCTTCCAAGGAGGGAATTTCTTGTACATCCAAAACGGTTCCAAACCCAGAAAACACTTCGACAATGTCATTCTTGTTAAAAGATTCTTGCAAAAACCTTAGCAGTACTTTGTTAGGAGAGTGTTCTCCAGCAGATAATGCGAACAAACTCTTTTTTATTACCTTAGGATCCATGGTAGTAGCAGCCAAGGTTGCCTGACTGCACAATGATTCGTTTTTCATTACTAAAGTTTCCCCTTTGGATTCCTCTTCCCCTGTTGCACAACTTTTCTGCATTGCAGGATTGCCTTTGGATATGCATATTTCTTCTCTACCATTAGGATTCAATGAGTTGGCATCTGAGCCCGCTATTGTCAGTCGGAAGGTTAAGGGAGTCCATCAACTTCTCTATGCTACTCACTGCCAGAGGTGCAACGGTTTTTCTAGAGCTTTCAAACGAAAATATACTTTTCCTTTCTCTAATAGCAGCCAGGTCTCCACTCTGACCATTAATCCCACCCCTTACTAGAATGGATACCAAAGAGCCTGGAATTTCAGGAGCCTCTGATAACCTGTCCTTATCATTTTCCTTAGATATACTTATAATTTTCTGGACAGGATCAGACAGCATTTTACCATTTAGGCCGTGTTAATCACTGGCATCACAAGAGGATTCTCCTGTAGATTTACTGGAATTACTGTTACACAAAGCCTCAAATGTCAGAGGAAGCTTCACCTCTTTATATGGTTCTGAGCTTCCAAACAAGTTTGAGAGATTATTCCGAGGTGGTTTTGCTTGATGGGAATGCCCTTTCTCAGGCTGCAAGTTCGCCATATTTTCCCCAGGTGATTTTAGACTTTCTGATACTTCTCCAGTCAAGAAACCTAAAGCGACATCTTTAGAACTTGGTTCCTTGGGAGGATCCACTCTTTCAGGCTGTATACAGCTTAACACCTTCTCCTGCGTAAACTCCAAGCCGCCTACTCTATCAATATTATCCAACCTCTCTTTATTTACAGATAAGCTTTCTCTCATCCCAGAAGTCTCAATTACTGCAAGACTTTGAGATACATCTCGAGATCCCATCTCAGAGACCAAAGACTCTTCATTTACTCTTGAAGCCAAACAGGTTTTGTTTTCTGCAGCAACACTTTGAGATGCATCTTGAGACCCCGTTTCAGAGACTGAAGATTCTTCTTTTACACTCGAAGTAATACAGTTTCTATCTACTGCGACAACACTTTGAAATGCATCTTGAGACCCCATTTCAGAGATTGAAGATTCCTCTTTTACACTCGAAGTGATACAGTTTCTGTCTTCTGCAACGTTCTGCAAGGTGACCACTTTAGTTGCAGTCACATTTGATGAGGAAACCATGGGTGGTTTTAGCGAGTCTTGACCTAAAGTTTTGTCCATCAAAACCTCGTTTCCCAAAATCTTATGCTTCAGATTAGTCAGTAAACCTCCGAAAGAGTACCAATGCATTCCCTTTTGGCCAATATCTCTGCACATCCAGAGAAAAAAAGGAAATAATCAGAGCTATATCATACATTGTAAAGTAACTAGAAGACCAATGCATCACCAAAAATTAACATGAAAACTGAATCAGTAAGTTAATGTATGAAAGATTGAAAGTTATAAGTTGGGAGCTCCAACACTAGAGTCTACAATGGTCTGTTGAGTTTTTGAATCCAGGTAAAGCCACTCACAGTTCATAAAAAATACAAAGGTATGATTAAAAATCAAACTACCAAAAACTCCAAAACAAAACCCCATTTCCAGATTTGATTTCTAAGTATATAGCTTCATTACTCTTTACCACTGCTAAACACTAATCTAAAACCCATTACACAGAGCCCTTTAAAGTATATATTCTCACTTGTTCGTGGAAACTTCAGAATCTGGCAATCTCTCATATTTCCTACCATCCTCGATAGAAGAAGATAACCACCTTCTCGTCAAAGGTACGAAACCTATAAAACAAAAACAAAAAAACAATTTTTTTACAGAATCATCAACATCGATTAAGAAAGGAGAATCTTTTGGTTTATGAATGAAAAAATCAAGACGATTCAGAGAAAGGGTTGATGTGTAATCACCTCTACTGTTGAAATGTGGAGTTAATTTGGGTGAAAGTAAACGACCAATGGCCATTTTCGGAGAAGCTTTCCTCAAAAAACCCTCGTTGGAGGTTTAAGAGGAGACGGAGGTAGAAGAAGATGCTCTCGAACCGGAAATATAAAGTTTGTTCTTTTTCCTTTTTCAGATTTTAAGAGAACCGGTCTTTAATTTCCAGAGAATGTTTTGGTTTAGTAATTAGCCGACTGGTTAGCCGGTTTAATTCGAAATTGATTTCAAACCTGGCCCAATAGAAACTACGATATTACTGAATTTTCAGGCACAACAACAAAAGAACATTTGGCTTTCACATTCTAGGTGTCAGTTAACCGGATTGATGATACTGTTACTCTAACCTTATTAGGATTGGTTTGGTTTAAGCTAATTATTGGTTTGTGATTGGTTGGTTTATAGTTTTTGTATTTCCTGTTGTATGTTTTTGCTCTACAAAATGTTATTTTATATGTGTTTTGTTTTCTTCGTTCTCCTTCTACAAATAAGAATGATGAATACAAAGAACTCATCGATGTCTTCTTCTTCTTCTTTTTTTCTTTCGTATTATGTGTTTTATCTCTGCATTTTGGTTTGTAATTAGTATAAAGCTTTCATGTAAGTGTCATGCCTATTCATAAAAAGAAAATATATACTTTTCTTCGACTTTAAACCACTTTTAGTTCAACTCATACAACTTCTATGCGTTCTCTCATGCATCAACATAACATTTTCACAACTTTTTCTTTTGAAAACAAGAAAAAGGTTTGATAATCCAATTGAAAAATAATTCTAAGCCTCCGAATAGTTACTAGTTAGTCTCTTAATGTGTTTGTATGTCACATACGTTCTTGAAATTAAAAATCAAAAATTTGTTTCATTCTTTTGTTTTTTTTTTGAAAAATGAAAATATGTTTCATTATGTTCACAAATCAAAATATCCAAATATATAGAGATACGATTGTAAGTTTTAGTTTTATCGTTTTATTGAAGATACATGCACCCAAAGCTTTAAATGTTTTCAAAGTGTAATGAATATATATATATAGCCTTGCTATTTGTATAATGATATTCTCATTGTCATAGAATGCAAATAACTTTATAAAAATATATAATATATTCATGCTTGTCTTTTAAGGTTGGAAGTTACGTAAACGTAGTTTTTTTTGTTTAATTTTCTGATATGAAACGTAAACGTAGTCAAAAGTATTATAAAGACAAAAGAAATATAGAAAGGAATGAGAGAAAAAGGCGTACGTTACTATATGACGACGCTTTGTTACAACTATCTTTTCACAGTAAGCGTTTTCTCGACAACATTCTAAAAGTGCTTATAAATTGTTTTAAAGTTTTCCACCGTTACGTTCCAGAAATGTAATTGAATAATATGCAAAAAAAAAAACGACTAAAGAAACTGTATCTTGCAATTGAAAAAGTCTTCATGAATACTAAATTGTGAGGATATCGAAGAGGTTTCTTGTTTTTATCAAAAAAAGCTTTTTGTAGTTTATAAGATATAGCAAAGCTAATAAGAAGAAGCTATGAACGAGGAGGATGGGCTTCTTATTAGATCTCCCTTTCATGTTCAAGGTCACGATTCATCTTTCTTCCTCTCTTAATATTATTTAAAACTCAAATCTTTTGATTATAAAGAAGTTTGTAATAATCTTTAAGATTGGTGAACAGGCGTTCCGGTTTAGGAGACTTGTAGTTGGAGATGGAAGGAGAAGGAAGAAGAAGAAACCATCATGGTTAACTCCGGTTTCTCACGGATACTATACCGTTGACCGGTTAAGCTATACCGGCAATTCGTCGAATGATGATTCAGTTTTTGTACAGAGAGAGCAGCAAAATGAAGACGAGCTTGAGATTTGGTTGTTTGGAGTTTCTAATGCTCTAACAGGGAAAGAAATGGTCAAGTATATGCAAAACCATCTCTTTGATAAGCTCCCTAATGAGGTAATTAAAAATTATGACTATATAATATATAGTATAGTGGTTTATGTTTAGTGAGGAAAAATGTATTTTTGTAACGTTTTCAGCTAGGAGTAATGAGAAAATGTAAAGAGACAATGAGAAGAGCGTATGCTGAGGAAGAGAGGACCGGTGGCTCAGCCGCTACGGTGGCTGTGGTGAACGGAGAGAAGCTAGCCATGGCGAGTATCGGTGGCCATAGAGTGGTGGTTTGTAGAGACGGCGAGGCTCATCAAATCAGAGACAAGAACCGGAGATCATCAACAAAACATTGGTCACAGTTTATGTTTCCAGGTTTGTTTCTTCAAACCAGGTTTTGCTTTTACTGTATAGATTACTTGTGTGAGAAGGAAACAATATAAAGATCTTGATTTTTTTCTTGAACATGTTGCAAAATTTAGTTTGTAATCAAGGAGAAGCAGTAGATGAATCAGATCCAAGAAACTCAGAACTTGTGGTTATTACAGAAAAGATTAGTTCAGATACTGAGTTTATCATTGTCGGTAGCTCTGGGATTTGGGAGGTAAGATCAAGATCAATAAGAAAAATGCAAAATATGAACTGATCAAATCACCTAAATTGCGATTAATGGATTGATTTTGGTTACAGGTGATGAAGAATCAAGAAGCGATTAACTTAATTAGACACATAGAAGATCCTAAAGAAGCTGCAAAATGTTTAGCTAAAGAAGCTTTAAACAGGATTAGCAAAAGTAGCATTTCCTGTGTTGTAATTCGGTTTGATTAAACCGGTTTATTTTTGTACCAGAACCGAAATATTTAAAATTCAAAATCGAACCGTTTTGTTTTTTTAGTAGCCAATAGAACTGCGACGATCGTAACATTTACTTGAAACTATCTCAACGTTCGATAACGTTTGAAATTTTGCCGCCCTAGTATGACCAATGTGCAAGTTCTTGAGAGGGCTAAATCCGGCGAGTTTGGTGCAGATTCCGCTGATTAGCGTCTCTTCGTTGGCTAGATCGTTCTCCGCGAGCTTGTTTTTGTCGTCGATTAATGAATCGGACTCGGATAAAGGGTTGTTCCTTTGAGTTGGTATTGAATTGGAGCTTCTCCAAAGAGAGAATGAGTTAGATGGAGATGGAGAAGGAGAAAAGGAAGTGGAGTTACCGAAGCCACTGATTTGAGAGGTGATTCTGAGAGCTTTAAGACGAGCTTCTCTTAATTCTTCTTTTCCTAAAAGAAGAGTTTGAATTTGATCCGCCTTTTTCTGAACTTGAGCTCCCCAATCAAATCTGAAAGGCACGAAATAAATTAAAGAAAACGTTAGAAACATGGAAACTATATCAAGAAAATAAGTAAACATAACAAATGTTTGTAACCGAGACATTTGAACGTTCCAAATGAATAAGAAACCAAGATTTCGTCGTGTTTTCAAAAAATAATCAGATTTTTCGAAAAAGTTTCTAAGTAAAAAGTTTAGGAATAGTGTTTTCATGGTATTTCTCTTTAAAAGAGATCTTAACTGCAAAAGACGAAGTTTCCATACAACCTAGATTTCAAGTAGCTAAAAAAATAATTACATTTTCGAAACCAAGAAATTTCTGAAATTTTAATGTGAATTTTCTTTTAAAGGAGATTAGAATAATAAATACCCATTATCGTCGATGTATTGGAAAGTAGAGAGAAATCGAAAATGATCCAAGTCATAAATAAAATCATGAGGCAAATGAAGAGGTCCATGCGTTAACAAGAACTCCAACAACACCATTGCCTTGTATGCTTCTCTCCACTTCTTCATCTCCCCTTTCTCTTTCCCTATTCTGTTTTCAATATATTTCATCATCTTAATCATAATAATAATCTCCAAAAGAAACAAAACTAATTCATACTTTCTATGAAGAACATCAACAATTCTCCAATAGTCCACTGTATTGAACGATGCCTCGGCTATTTTCGTCATCGTTTTAGCGTTTGGTGAAATAGGATCATCATTTGTCACCTCTTCTACTAACCTAAGGATTGAAGAGAGTTCAATGTAATCAAATACTCTTTTAGAGTATTATAGTTAGCTAATTATGTTTTCATTAAAGTCCACTCACAGCTCAACTTCGGTAACATCGGTGAGGACAAGTCTAGCAACATTGTACTTGTCCTGAAGAAACGAAGAGGCTTGTTTCTTGAAATCTCCAAACCAAAGTGTCCCCATCATCACAATTTTTCAAAATTGAATGGTCTCTCTCTTCTGTCTCCGCAAATCAACTTAAATGTGAGCTTCATACCAAACATTCTCATGGGTCATCCTTTTTTTTAGCTTCAGGACACACTTTAACAACTATTAATAGATTTGAGTATTTGACCAAATTTAATTGATATTAAACAAAGTACTTGTGTTACAAGTTACATATACCACTTTACAAAGTTCTATGAACAAACTATAAACACATAAAGTGGGAGACAGCTTACTTTCTCTCATCTTCTTCCCAAAGGTAGACAGAGAAAATGGACTGTAGAGTTTTCCATTGCTTTCACACTTTCAGATTTTTCCAATCTCCACAATCTTTTTCCGGTCATTTCCGCTTTCCCGAACCAATGGTAAGCATATCGAAGCTTCTCATCAAGCCATCATCACGCCCAAGCCTAGCTGATGACTTCAATTCTTGGCCCGGTTGAATCTTTTGGGCACTGCTTGAAAATAGTTTATTTGAGCGGTTCTCACTCAGCTCACCTGATGAACCAGGTTGGCTGCTCGACATCACTGCCATCTTTGTGGCAATCTCATTTCGGGTTTTTTCAGAAACTTCCTGCATATTTGAACAAACATCAATCACTTTGGACTAAGAGGTAAATGATTCTCATTATTGATGCCAAACACTCAGCAAGATAAAACTTTTAAGTCATATACATATCAGAAACACAATTCTCAACAGCTATAGAAGATGCACAGAAAGATAGAAAAAAGAAAACTAACCACTTCTTTGGAAGCATCATCAGAAAAAATGTGTTTAGGGCGAATGCCATGACTCGATATGTTTCGTCTGGCGAATGCTTCAACTGCACCTGAGAATCTGTCACGCAGATCCTGCCCTCCTAAACAAAAATAGGAAACCAACTTCAGAGTTAAATCTTCAACTATCTCAGCGTAACCAATGTCCAGTATCTGCAAGATCTCTATTTCAAGCTTCTGAACAAGGGAAAGATACTGGCTCATGGTTCACAGAGAAAGTTCAAGTTTTCCAACACTCAAACCTCAGATTCCACAAGCAGTCAACATTGTTATTAGCCTTATAGAAGTGAGTATATAAAATCAAGTTATACCTGTAGGCTTTTCATTTCGTTCTGCAGATGGTCCTGGAGGGTCTAGAGCTGGGTTTGGGTTTGGCTAATGCAAGTGAGACACAATATAATACAAATATGAGATTTTCAAAGTAGTTTACGGTTTCTAAAAGTTTGTTCACTATCGGTTGACGCAGAAAACACTAACCCTTGGTTTTGAAATAGAGCCACTCTGAGGATATTTCAAGATTGTCCAATCAAACACATAGTCGAACTGATAACCTGCATGCAGTAGCAAATGATGTAATTTACAAGTGGTGTAAAGGTCCATACACTGAAATAGTCTTTCTTACACTTACAGACAACAGAACCTCAAAAAACATGAGTAACATTATAATAGAGAGGCGAAGGAGATAAAACACAGTATAGGTTTCAAACCTTCTCGAATAAATAGGTCTCTGAATAGTCTTTTCAGATACGAATAATCTGGTTTATCTTCAAACCTCAATGATCGGCAGTAGTGGAAATATGATGTGAACTCAGATGGAAATGACTTGCAAAGAACCTGTAAACAGCAAAATCATGTTTATCGAAAACTTTCCAAAAATGCTAAACAGAGTCTTTTCACAATACAGAAACACTATTATAGACAATGATGTACCTCTACGGGAGTAAGCATCTTCTTTTCACTAATCTTCTCATATTTCTGTTTCTTGGTACCTGCTTTTAGACCTTGCCATGGTAGACTGAGACAAGAAGATGCATGTCTCATATTTCTGTGTTTCTTTAAGATTTTGCTATCGATAGTATACACAACCAAAATTGTTTCCTACCTTCCTCGTAGAAAATACATCAGCACATAACCAAGTGACTCTAGATCATCTCGTCTACTTTGCTCTGCAAGAAGATATAAGACATGTTTCAAATAACAAGGAGGAGAGTAGCTTAACGGTTAATGCACAAATATAGAATGAAGCCATTCAAAGGTGTGACATGGAAACGTTTCTCACCAATCCCAAGGTGTGTGTTGACACTTGCATACCGAGCAGTACCTGTTAGATTCTTATTTTCCCTGTAAAAATGTTCAATCAACTCTTGTGAAGCAAAGCATGGAAGAAGAGTACATGAAGGAAATTACCAAGCATAAGACCTGTATCAACCTTGGAAGGATACAAAATTGTCCCTAAGGTCTAGCATTAATCTTACTATAGTTAACTTATCAAAAAAATATGAAACGTTACAAGAAACACCAATGCAAATAGACTCTTGTTAAAAGAAAGATCAACAACATAATAAGCTTTCTTTATTTAGATGCATGTAAGAACATCAATTTTTCTCCTAAAAATTGAACTTCTAGCGATGACAAACATTATAATCAACAAGCGTATGTATCCTAAACGAGAGGGAGAGAAACATTTGTAGATCTCACCTGTACGGTATATGCTTATGTGTCTGAAGATCTCTATACTTTTTAGCAAGCCCATAATCAATAATGTACACCTGAGGTTGAAAATTCGTTACACCAGACACAATGCTAACAACATTTGTATGGCATACTAAAGCAGAAACTGGAAAGCATTACCTGGTTTGCTTTGCGACCAAGACCCATCAGAAAGTTGTCCGGTTTAATATCACGGTGAAGAAATCCTCGCGAGTGCATATACTCAACTCTGTTTATCTACATTAACATTGAAAAGAGCTAAAATTAGCAATGATCTCTCAACCAAACATTATCTCGATATTAATGAACTCAAAAAAGGCATACTTACTAACTGATCAGCAAGCATTAGAACAGTTTTCAAAGAAAAATTCCGACTGCAATAATTGAACAAGTCCTCCAAGCTAGGACCAAGAAGGTCAATAGCCATACAATTGTAATTACCCTCAACGCCATACCATTTGATATGCGGAACACCCGCTGGTATCATAAGAAAACCAAAGCTTTCAGTCCTATGGAGAAACAAAAGCGTCAAGTGAAAATGAGCCGGGGAATTAAAAACTCACTCCCTCCTTGAAGAAGCATGTATACTTTTGATTCATAGTGGAGTTGAGGATGCTTCGTCTTCACAGGTTCCTAGCAACAAAGAAATGTGGATGGATCAATATAGCTGCCATGTTTATAAGAACAGATCAACAACTTAAGCTTAAGAACATGAAAGTATATATTCAAATAAAAATGTAGTGACAACATGTTTCAAGATTCAACAGTGACAAAACTAAAACATACCAGCTTAAGAGCAACTTCTTCTCCAGTTTGAACATTAATCCCTTGAAACCAACACATAGAACCAAAAATCAAAATTATTAATCAGATTTACTCAAACAACAAACAAAGAACCAAAAAGCAATCAAATTTTGATAAAATAAATAAATGAATACCTATATAAAGTTCACCAAACGATCCACTACCAATCTTCCTACCTAACTTGAACTTTCCACCGATGATATGATCCATCGTTTCGAAATTACTACTAATGAGCTATAACAAATCTCATCAATACAAAAACGAAGTAAACCAAGAAATTATATAAACCCCAAAATCAAGATTTCCTAATGAAAGTTCAAGACTTTGTCAGGCAACAACACACCATGAGTAGTGGTGTTAAGTACTATTATTCTGAATCTTTAAAGTTTGAGTCTTTAAAGATATAAAGTTCAAGAATTTTTAAAGTTTTGAGTTTTTTTGGTTTCTGGGTAATCAAGAAAACAAAAAACAAAGTTGGGGGAGGAAGAAATGGTTTTGATGACCGACTGAAATTAGTAGACGAGACGGAAGAGAAAAGCAGAGACACATGTTATTATCTCAATCTTCTTTATTACTTTGTTTTCTATATAATTTTTTTGGAAAAAGTATATAATATTTTTCTTTGTCACGGGCAAGTGAAAATAAACGAGACAGATAACACAACACATAATACTATTTTAGTATTTTTTTGTTAACCTTTTCCACTTTGCTATATTATTATTCACCAAAGATACAAGTGTAACAACATGCTTATCTTTTTACATAGAAGTATATTTTCATAAGATACAATTCTTAAAAATACCACTAAATTAAGATTTTTGAATTTACACTTATATACTATAAAAAAAATCTCAAAAGTATTCCTAAAAAATATTTTTTCTTTTTCGAAAATACCACTACATTAAAACTAAACTTAAATCTTGGATATTGAATCCTAAACCTTAACAATAAATCAGAGATGGTGGGCTAGTGGTTCTAGTCTGGTGGAAGAGTCGCCCTGTTGGTATAGGCCATGGATCGATTCTCCTCAGACGCAGAATTGCTAGCTTTATCCCTTTGGCCATATGGGTATTGGCCTCTTGCTTAAGGCCCATTTGAAAAACTGGGGGACCTTACCCGTGGGATACCTTCTCCCCAGGGATTAGTCTCGGATCCTTCCATAGGTCCGGGGATTTACCCTGAGTAATAAATAAATTAAAAAAAAACAATAAATCAAATTTTAGAAATTTTAGTTTTTTTTTTTACTCAACAGTCAAAGATGATGCTATAGTAAATATCAAATAAGGTCAGAGCTCAATAGCTACTCTCTTTTTTTTTTTTTTTTTTTTTTTTTTTTTTTTTTAATTTTCTGTCGACAAACTAAAAAGATATCTAATCTTTTTAAAAAGTTCAATGTATGAGTTGCGTTAGTTTTGTAATTTGTATAAAGAAACATGAATTTAATAATCATGGATGGCTGCCAAAGTTTCTTTAATGTTTTTGTTTTCTTTACAAAATTGCCAAATTAATGTATGTAGAGCCAAGCAAAAACCAAATTCAAGTAAAAGACAAAGAAAACTAAAAAGCAAAGTAATTAAGCTTTGCGTTACCGACTTCTCTCAAACGCCAATAATGTTTTAAAAATGAAATTAAAGCTGGATAATTCATAATTACCACAACTAATCTTTAGCTTTTCTTAACAAACAATCTACTAATCATGTATACTAGCAATTCAATTTACGGCAAAGATTGGTAAAGAATCATTTGTTTCATGATTATTTTATATATATGTTTTCAAGTGAAATGCCGTATATTGATATATACAATGAACATATACTAAAATATATATTAACGAATAGTTGTTTTTTTCCAGTCCATAGTGCTACAAAAAGGATCCAATGGCTATGTATGGGGCAATGATAATGATGTGATATATTTTTTTGGGTATATGTATGGGTCAGCTTCTGTCTGTTGTTGATGTATACACAAACATTCCATTTATTTCCCATTTATTGTTTGCTAAATTATAAAATACAAAGACTTTGAAATAGTCTTGTTCTTTTCTTTGCCTAATCACTACGCTCACTGTAATGGAACGTGCGTTATATTACCTATGCGACATTGTCTCTGAGACTCTGAGAAAACATGGAAGTCAGACAAAAGTTTGAGACTTTGATCACCAATAGTCTAAACAAGAACAACTCCCACGGTTGAAATGGTGGAATCTGCTATTATCCCTTACAATAATCTCTCTCTCTGTGATCTTCGAGATAAACTTGATCGCGACATGACAATCCCTGCAGATCCTTATGTTCTTAGTCACCCTTATTGTTGTGCCAGGTTCTGTGTTGATGATACCAAAGGCAACAGCCAATCTCTCGCTGTGTCCAAACAAAAGCTCTCTCTTATGCTCCTCGTCTACATCGTGAAGCACGCCGCTTGTGTCTGCAACATACCCTTCTTTCTCCATCTGTTCCATTACAGGTTTAAGAAACTCGTTGATTCTGTCCATATTCGGATGCGATCTATCTCCTGATACAAACCCATGAGTCTTGTTTTTCAGTTCGATCCAACTACAAGCTGGCTTTTTCCTCAATCCTTTTTTCCTCATTTTCAATCTCAGTTTCGCCATTTCTTTCCATCTCCCATTAGAGGCATACATATTGCACATTAGAACGTAAGCTCCCATGTTTTCTGAATCAATAGAAAATATCTTCTCTGATACCTTCTCAGCTAACTCAAGATTCTTGTGGACACTGCAAGAAGACAACAAGGTAGACCAGACACTACCTGTCGGTTCAACACGCATCTTTGAAATGAAATCATATGCTTCTTCCAGTTTCCCTGCACGGCCTAGAAGATCCGCTACAGCAGCATAATGTTCTAACTCCTGGTTTAAACCATAAACCTTAGTCATGCTGTTAAAATATCCCCATGCCTCATCTACCAACCCCACATGACTACAAGCAGTTAGTACAGCAACAAATGCCACTTTATTTGGTTTAACTCCTTGCTCTTTCATCTCCTCAAACAAAGAGACAGCTTCATGTCCATGACCATGTAACGCGTACCCCATTATGATAGCTGTCCATGATACTTCATCATGTACATTCATCCTGTCAAAAATCTTCCTAGCAGCATTAATATTCCCACATTTCGAGTACATATCGACAAGTGAACTAGATATAAATATGTTACTCCCAAAGCCACCTCTTAATACATATCCGTGAAGTTGTTTCCCGAGGCGCAAAGTAGCTAGGTGCGCACAAGCAGGAATCACACTTGAGAATGCCACAGGTCCTGGCCTAACCTTTGTGGTCACCATTTGCCTAAATAATCTCAAAGCCTCGTTGTATCTACCATTCTGTACATATCCAGCTACAAGCGAGTTCCATGAGATACTATCCCGACGAGCCAAATGAGAAAACACTCTTTCGGAGTCTTCAATCCGAGCACTTTTTGCATACATATCAACTAAACTACTCCCAATATATACATCAGCATCAATTCCCTTTCTAATCGCATACCCATGAATCTCTTTTCCCTTAATAACATCCACATACTCAGAAAATATAGGAAGCACACTGGACAAAGTGAAAGCATCAGGCTTTATATCAGTAGTTCCCATCTCCCTGACCAGTCTTAAAGCATCTTCATACATTCCACTCTGTGCATACCCTGCAATGATAGTATTGTAGGACACAACATCCTTTCTAGGGATCACTTCAAAAACTTTCCTCACACTATCTATTCCTAAAGGCATAGTGCAAGTTTCAGCCTCTAAATCTTCATCACAGTTCATAACAGGTTCAACGGATTCAGTGGCAACACAACATGAACCTAATCTGGACATTCTTTGAGGCATTTCATCGAACACTTTACCTACACTTATCTTTGAACCCATACCAAGAAGCTTAGCATACATATTCATCAACGCATTCCCTGTATACAAATCACAATCCATGCCAAGCCTAACGATACACCCATGAACAGACTCACCCAATCTCAAATCCATCATCATCGTACACGATTTCAGCACAGAAGGGAACACATTGTGATCTGGGCATCGACCCGAGGCTCTCATTTCCACGAACGAAGCTAACGCGCGTGAGAATAGAGACTGGTCGGTGAAGCATCTGATTACTGACTTCCATGCTAGAACAGGAGGAGACTCAAGCGTTTTGAAAAGAAGCAAAGCTTCATGCAAGAGTTTGAGGTTCGTGTAGATTGATATTACGATGGAAGCTGATGTGTGGGAGAGAGATTGGGTTCTGATGAACTGTGCGTGAAGCTGCTTGGCTTGAGATTTGGATTTGATGCGAGTTGGATTCTGAATCAGGGTTCTGATTAGGGTTTTTGATGAACTCATCTTACGAATGAATTGGTACTTCCTGGTCTCCTCAGGGAGACACCATTAGCAAACACAAAGGTCACTCTTTTAAAAACTTCAACTTTTAAACTTCCACATAACTTTTTGGGGGGGGGGTTATTGGGAGAATGATTTTAAAAGAGTTTATGGATTTCTAAAGTTTAGAGATTTTAACATTCTCAAAAAATTTTGTAGATTATAAAATAATGTTTACCCAGATTTCTAGAGTTTAATAGATTCTCCATATGATAGATTCTACAAATACTTATGATAATTGCAGTATTTTGAAAGTTGTTTTTAATGACTAAATATGTAAGGAATCATTAAACCAATAACACTAGAATTTGATAGAATTGGAAAATCAATAAATACTCAACTTTTTGAATAACAAAGGATTTTAAATTTTTGATGAACTCATCTTACGAATGAATTGGTACTTCCTGGTCTCCTCAGGGAGACACCATTAGCAAACACAAAGGTCACTCTTTTAAAAACTTCAACTTTTAAACTTCCACATAACTTTTTATCTCTTCTTCAAAGTTCAATTATTTTGTAAATTCGAATAGCGAAAAAGATTCATTTAGGAACTGAGGTGACACAATTGTATGACGACTAATATGACCAAGTACAAATGTTTCGATACCAACCAATTCGGACTACTACAATCAAGAGCTGTGAACTAGAAACAAGAAGTCTTTTTGACAATTACATTGGTGATGCAGTCAAAGAAAAAGAGTTCTAAGAAGTAGAATGATAGAATGTTTTCTGATTTTCAATTGCCGCACACACACACTTGCAAGCTCTTACTTGTCTTTCTCTTTCTGTCTTACTCGTCTTCTCTTTCTGGAGGAAGGCCGCAAGGTAAAAGCATTTTCTGCACAAAAAAAAAATCAAATAATATTGGAGTTATAAGCCAAATGGAAACATGAGATTGACATTATTCTGAATCAAAGATGAGTTTCTAAAATCGTTTAAAAGGGAGTTGTAAACCTCTAAAGACTAATATATTCCCTTGTAAGGTTAAACTAGTAACTCAGGTTACAAACTTTGGTACAACAAAATGGACTGATTTCTACCCTTTAAACTAATGTAACCCATAGGCATCCGTCTATTGATCAGCAAAGCTATAGTCGAGTATAGAGCAGTCTAAACTTAGGTAAAAGCTATAAGCAAAATCACTGATCTTGAGGGTAAAAGGAAAAGAAAAAGAATGAAGCAACTTGAGAGTAGATACTCTACATATTGCATAGACACAATGTTGCACAAAGAGCCAGAAGATAACTACAGATATAATAACCATTTAAAAGAACCATCGTCACCTAAAACCTAGAATCATATACCTAACCCTGATTGTTCCTGTCCCTGAGACACTACCACATTAACATAACCAATAAAATTCTAAAATTCTTGACATGAAACTACGAGAAGCAAAAAAAAGAAAGACAAACCTGCATGAAGTTGTAGCGTTCTCGACCAATAGATTCGTTCTCAGCTATTGCGAAGTACGAAAGCATCGGGTAGTGACCAATGTATGAAGCATAACTATCACGCTGAATGTTCACAGCCCATTCACTAGACATAAGAAACATACATACATACCAATTAGTCCACAATTTTTAGCATCCTGAAAATAAATTCCAAACAAAAAGTGTAAAAAAAAAAAAAAAAACTTACAATCTGCTCAAATCCGCATGCCCTGTACCAACATACTTAGCTTGAAGATGCTCAAGCTGAGAGTTTATGTTAAACCTATCACTCGCCTGCACAAACCCCACAAAACAAAAGTGAGATTACATAACTATCTGATGTTAAAAACCTAACCTTTATAAAGAATTGAGGCAAATTATTCCCAGATTTTAGCTATGCTTAGTTTAATCTCCAAGAAATCGTATACAATTGGAGATATAAACACAAAGAAACTAGGGTTTCAAAGACGAACCTGCATCTTTCAGAGAGTTCGCAGAAGCTCTTAAGCAGATGGATTCCAAATACACAGACTTTGCTCTGTGCCGTCTCTTCCGAATTTCTGATTCACTTCGATTCCGTATATATGTGTTCAATAATGTCTTGAGTAATTGACTGGGCCTTGAGAATGGGTCTGGGTCTGGCCCAATTATAACTATGAGAATCGGTACAGTAAACCAAGCCAAACCGTATATTTCAATTAAACCAAATCAAATCAATAAGAGAGATGAAGTTTGGGGAAGGAAATAAAAACATATCCTCTTTTTAATTAGAACTGTGTGGTACAAACCAAATTGTGATTTACCAAAAGAAACCCAAACAAAACAATCAAACAAATAAACCCATTCCGAAAGAGGAATATTTACTTTCTTTTTCCTTCAACTAAAAAAACCTTTTGAACAAAAGAAGATATTGACCAAAAACATTATCCTATGTTGAACAATCCTTTTAACTTTCTCTATCAACAATCAAACAATCCATCTCCCAAAGGAAACTGTACTTTCTCCAACCATAAATCCGCCACGTCAACCTGTCTTTTGCTGTGTTAACCAGGACCAAAGTGTAGCAAAGAGTCTGGTTCAGGCCGTGGCATTGTCGAAACGCGTGGCTGAGGATGATAGGGTTTCACTAGATGAGCTGGATTTGCCTTCTTTCTCTGGAACTTCCATCTGTGTTGGCAAGAGTTTCAAGAAGCTTCCTTGGTGACTAGTGGTGCTACTGGCTGATTCATCCTCTGTGAAATGTTTTTGTAACAATTCTGGTTAGAGCTACAACCATATTATAGTATATATCAGGCAGTTCTAAGACAATGAACTGGAAATTGATTGCAGTAATGTTATCTATGTAATGGTTTTTAGTATAGCATTTACCAAATAGGGATTTAATTGATGGCCGCTTTGGCTTTGTGCTCTTCTTCTTTAGTTCAGCTGCAACAGTAAACACAAGATAGGTAAAACACAGAGCAACCATGGGATATGTTTAAGTTACAAGTCAAATCAGTAATGTAAGTGACATTCTACCTATCCCTGGTAACTGATCATCGTTTACGATTTCAACGTTCTTGTAAGTATAACCCACAAAATTAATATCTTTGGATGAGAGCATCTGGAGATAGAAAAGAAAAGCAAAGACATTCTAATGTTAAGAATGCTAATGACAACACACTGCATATAAGCATGAATAAGCTATCATTTCTTATGTTATTAGAAATTGACACTTGAGAGCAAGCAAATTTTGTACCTTTCTCCATGGACCTGATTTCGACATCTTCGGAACTTGCTTATCAGTCTGTTACAGAAGCATTTATATTTATATTAACAGCTGCATACGCATCACTGGACCAGTGCCATTATTAAATATTTATACCAGTTTTCTGATTGGAACACTTAGTTTTTTTACCTCTTCAAATTTTTCGAAATTTTGAGTGTCCAACTCGTCATTGACTTGGGGAATAAAAGCAGCCTTCATTTGATACAATTTTTCCCATTCAACACCTCTGAACCAAGGGTGTTCCTACAAGAAATGCCAAGAAAAAGAGTTTATTAGGCATTTATCAATAGTGTTCAGACAAGGGAACTTCAAATCTTAAAGCACAAAGCACCTTAATTTCATTTGCTCCTTTTGATCCAATCCTTTGTTCTACGTTGCATAAAAGTTTACAAATAAGATCCTTGGCTTCTGGTGATAGCCTAACCTCATCCGGGAATTTTAAATAATTTCTCCAGTTTACTATCTGTTATTAGAAAGAATAAGAAGATATTTAGAGATGAAAGGTGAAAAGGTAGGCGACTGCATATATTACCACCAAAAAGGCATCATTAGAAGATCAAGAACTAAACCAAATGCAAAAATTTGAGATTAATGGAAGTCCTATAGAAAAGTGAGGATTGGTTACCTTTCTACAAGTTGTCATTGGCTCATCTGAATAAAATGGTGGAAACCCCACAAGCATTTCATACATGATCGCACCGAGAGACCACCTAAAGGAAAAAAAAACCAAAAAAAAAGTTCATCAACAACAACTTAATTTGAATTAAAGAGACACGACCCAACAAATTTGCTGCACCTACCAATCACATTCCATTCCATATCCTTTCTTCAACAAAACTTCTGGAGCAATATAGTCAGGAGTTCCAACTGTAGAATAAGCCTGCAACAGAAAACTTATATATCAACAGCGAGAAAAACTTCCGTCAGATGAATAGTACTGGCTGTTTTTTCAATCTTGCATAACTGGACATTTCAGAACAAGAAAATTAATGATTTGTATAACATAAACTCACAAGCATTCTTCTATTTCTCTGCCAGTTTTGCAGTTGTTCCATTTGGGAGCGGGTGCGTCTTGGTGCCACAGGGCGGCCGTCACTTTGTAGAGCCCCACTAACGTTGTGTGCAACTATGAAATCTTTTTCCTGAAGAATACTACAGTCTAATGGCTTACACAATCCAAAATCTGATAGTTTCATGTGACCGCTTCTGTCGAGTAGCAGATTATCAGGCTTGATATCTCTGTAACAAATTGGAGAAGTAAATAGATGCTTCAGTAAAATTTAAATCCACTCGAGAGCAATAATTTAATCAGATAGCCTCATTGCTTCACTAGACCTGTGGATATAGTTGTGCTTATGAATGGACTCAATAGCTAAGACTGTTTCCCCAACATAAAATCTTGCCTCATCTTCAGTAAGTGTGTCTTTCCTCATAAGTAATGTCATCATATCTCCACCAGGTAGATACTCCATAATAAGATACAAATACTCTTCATCTTGGAAAGAACAATACAGTTTCACAATGCAATTGCTGTCAACCTCTGCAAGTAAATTTCTCTCTGCTTTAACATGTTCCACCTGAAAAGAATTCAGATTTCAACAAACACTTACCAAAAAAAAACAAAGATATATCAAATAAAAGCAGCTTGAAGGAGATACCTGGCCTCTACGAAGCATCTCAGACTTTTTAAGCTTTTTCATCGCATAGACATGGCCTGTTCCCTTCTCCCTACATATCCTAACCTGCATCAAGAGACGGGATACACATAAGATAACCATAGAAGTACTTTAGGTCAACGTTAGCATGAACATTTCAAATTTTAAGCACTATCCCCAACGCCTAGTCCATGCTTAAAACTAGAGGAAAAAAATCTGAATGCGAATGAAATTTGTATTTATTCTCAGGTGGCATAAACCATGCAGGGCACTAGCTCACTATAAATCAAAGAAAAGTTTAGAGTAACATTAATGATACCTCTCCAAAAGCGCCCTTTCCTATCATTGTCAATGGCTCGAAGTCATCGGTTCCCATTTTATGTCTCTGTCGGCGCATGTATTCCGTTTCCTTTTTCTCTAAGTCCTTAAGCAAATTCTTTTGCTCTTCCTCAGAGACTTCTGCAGCAGCTAACTTATTTTCCAGCATATCACGTCTGCAGCAAATGCAATTCCCAAAACAGATCTTAGGTGCAAATTACAGAAGAAAAAGGAAAGAAAAAAGATTTGAATAGAAGTTCCCATATAAATAGCACAAAACATCTATTACACGAAAAAAAAAAATCTTTCATAGCTATAGTCTACAAACAAAAACTTCCAGGGAAAGCAGGGGAAACTCCATCTGGAAGATACAAACATCTTAAAAAGTTGTGCAGGTGTCACGAAATTATATGCTAATGAACAAAAACTTCATTTTTTTATCTTGAAAAAATATGCAATAAAACCATACCTCTCCTTTCTTTGCTGCTGACTTTGCACTTGTTTTTTGTAATGGTTTTCAATATACTGTTTCGCAGCTGCAGCCTTCTGCTTTGTTACATTTGACACAGCTTCTTCACCTCCAGCTGTTTTGGGTCCATCCTTTACATTACTTCTAGCAGTTTCCTTCTTTTTCGAGGATTTCTCCTTCCCTTTAGACTTTAACTTACTCAGCCATGCTCTGGCAGTATCCATCGCCTCCCTCCCGCTTAATTCGATCCCAACCCAAATATCAATATACGCTCTTTACGTAAAAGTCAGTAGAGAGTTTGATATACACGAACTATGACGTCTACTCCAGCTATGTTACAACAACAATATTCACATGTCACGCAACTGGACAGTTTTCCCTATTAGTGTCTTGCACCTACAACAACATATAACATATATAAGTTCACAGTGACTCCAAACATCTAATAGAGCATACTCAAAACTAACAAGAAATTTTATGACCAATTGATACAAATATCAATAGAACTGACAAACAAAAGAGACAAGAGAGAACGATAAGCTGAACCAGAAGAGTGAACTCAAATCAATTCTGAACATTGTTGATAGTCAAATAACCTAAAAAGAGCAAAAAAGGTTACAACTTTACTCTCACACTAGCCAACCCTAACAGTATATTCCCAAATCAAAACACATACAAAAATGAAAAAAAAAACCAAATTTTGAGAATCACCCATGATTCCTTAACCAAAACCAAACTCAATAACATGATCAGTTCAAGATAAAGCGATACCACCAAATCGATTTGCAAAACAATCAACAGAAGGTGAAAAAAAAAAGATACTTTATGGTAAAACTCAGACCTGAAGTAGAGTCGGAGAAAATGCAGCAGAACCCAAATCAAACGATTCCGGTGAAAGCAGCAGCCGATACACTGAACTGAACAAAGGCGTGAGAGACTCAGAACAACACAAAGAAGGAGAGACAAGAGATAGAAACCAAAGTGAGAGGAGTGGAGAAGAACCCTCGAATCCAGGGAATTGGATTCGTTTCAATTTCTTCTCTCGAAATTTCGCATTTTTGTGGGTTTAGAAAAAATTTGGCAGTGAAAGAGAAAGGAGAAAGGAAAGTTTAAAGCTTTCGTTGCTTTTGATGTGTAAATTTTACAAAAGAGAAGAAGAGAGACTCACAAAAACATAAACTGCTCTTCTTCTTTAGCCTCTCTCTTTGGGGCAAAATGGTTTTTGTACACTTTTGGGAATTGGTTTAATCTGAAATATTTGACATTAATGATGGGATTAGAGAGTTTTAATTTTTTATAGATCTCGAGTTTTATTAAAAACATATGTTACCTTATCTTGACGTAGACATATATAGATTTTATATAAATACCTCACTTACTTCAACCTAAATCATTGAAGTCTCCCTAATTATAATATTTTGATAATTTAATATTCCAGAAGATGTATTATTCGGCCTACAAAGAATTTAAACTTAGACTAAATGACATTAAGATAAAAGAGCTTTTTAAAATTTTTTGATAACTTTAGTATTCCGGAATCATTAAGATAATAAAATTTGGTAAAACATTTAGTTGTTTTGAGTTATATTGGCTATTGTAGTTTAAGCGGATAAAATCATCTATAGATTGGAACGTTTTTTATTTACTATAATATTTATGATGCGGAAAAAATAGAAGAAATACTGTTGCGGACCAATTATGGACTATTTTTACATTAAAATAAAATGAGTTTGCAACAGTTTGTTGTCCGTCCCAAAAATAGAATAGACTAAACCGTAAATGAATTAGTGAACACTAACCGTAACATCTATTCAAAGCATTTAGTGTATACATAACAGATGAAATTAATTATAAAGCACAATATATTCATGCCAATAGTCAATAATTAAATTTGTTAAGAAAATTAGAAAACCTTTGGACTTTGGAGTGTGACCCAACTGATACTGTTCATCATGTTCAAATTGAATAAAGAACTGATGTTTTAGTTCTTTTAACTCATAAATATAAAAACATATGTGTTAGCTTTTTGTAAACACTAGTGCACTAATTCTACATGATTTTTATATCAATAAAACATGTTGACAAGAAAATTAACACAAAGATGTAAAAGGTTTAAAAGCCTTGATGTCCGCTGAAGAAGCAGTATGCATCACGCCCGTGGCACTTCTTCTAAACCAGCATGGTCCTAAGCTTTCCAACTAACTACTGAATGCTCTTTTGTAATTTTGTCTCAAATTTTTAGTGTTTTTCTCCAATATTATTAGTTCCATTCTTGGCGAATTTAAAAAAACTCGGGCATACCAAAAATGAATGTGGAGGAAACTTTTATATTATATATTTTTCACAAAATCTTCATATTAAATTAAGTTCATTTTACTATTGATAGTAGAATACTATTTTTTTTCATTACAAACCAAAATATAATTAAAAGTTAATTCGTCAAAAAAATAAAAGATAAATTTCATTTTTGTAAGATAATTTATATAATTAAAATTAATTTTCTTTTCTTTCATTATAGTCTTGTAAAATGAAATTCAAATTTCCAATCTTTTTAAATTAAAATAAATAGACTCCACTCTTTTGCTCTTGTTTTTATTTGCATGCTATGACCCTTCACTTTGAAAAACCACTTTCAACACTTTCAATTTGAGGAATCAAGTATTTTAGTGATTTCTATTTTAATTTTATTTTTAATATTCTATTTAACCTTTAAAATTATGAAGAAAACGTTATGTGCTTCCTTTGAAATTTTGGTTCCTAAATTCTACAGATTATAAACTTTGAAAATATGCGCCACAACAATCCGAATTCAAAGGAAAAAAAAAAAAAGCATCTTTATCTTTAGAGAAGAAAAAAAAAACATTTAAAGAGTTTTGAAGAAGATAAGGGTTTTTGATCTTCACAATCTTTGAAGGGCGTTATGAACAGCTTTGAGGTGGGGGAGAGTAACACTTCGGGGACCATTTTGTGTTTGCCAAACTTTGTAGGTATGTATCACATTCATATTTTATTTTTTCTTAAAATAAATTTATATGTATTCTACTATTCATAAAACTTATTAATATCACTAATTCAATACGTAACGAGTATATATAATTGCAGCGGTTCCACTAATAGTAATACGAAAACAAAAACAGAAACCACTACTTTTTTTTTTTTTCATAGTATATTTTAACAGTCAATGTAAAGAAATAGTTAAAAATACTTATCTCATCTTCAAAATTTTGTTTTATATTACTTGTCGTTTTAGATTTTCAATGCAATTTTTTACAAATTTCCAGTTTTGACCATGCTTTTAAATTTATTAATTATTTATATTAAAGAAAATAATGTATTAATTAGGAGTGAAGCAGAAAAATTTAATTGTTTTCTTAATATGTATGAAATCATCTAGAACACCAAGTAATAAGAGTAATTCGGTTTTCTAGCACTATGGAGCGTTTATATTGAAGCTAATCAGATCAGCGGATAAAATATACCAAAGAAAAATATTAAAGAGACTTTGATTTCCACCTATTATTTTGGATTGTATATTGATGTTTAATGTCTTATTCATTATAATACCAAAAAATACAGATATATTAAATAAAATCTTAAATGATACAACTAATAAATTTTGCATTAAGTCATGTGCCCAAAATATTTTATGTACTCTTTTTAAAACATTTTAAATACCATCTAGCAAACATTTCACCTAAATGAAATCTTCATGCTTATCATTTCACATATTTTCTTTATAATTTTAGCTGAAATCAAATTATTTGGATTAGAGTATATAAAATCAAGAAAGTGTGTGGGCATAGATAATGGGAGGGTAACTTAGAGAAGTAGACAACAACTTCAACTTTGTGTCCACGAGACAACAAAATTTTGTAAAACGCTTTCACATGTTTTTTAGTTTTCACTTTAGGACCAAATAATAAAATGTTCTAATCATCAAATGCAATTATTCTTAATTATATCACTTTTTTGTCTCATAGAATATAATCAATTTTATCTTCAATTTTGCTTGGGACATAACCTAAAAAAGCTTTCTTCCAACAACAGTAAAGTTAGTTCTCGAGTTATATAAGATAATGGGGGGACTAAGTAAATTACACGCATGCCTTTGTTACTATCACGCCTTCTTCTTCTTTGTATCTTTCTCTATTCATTCATCACAACTAAAGAGCTTGAAGAGATGATTCTTCATCATCCAAGGTTTTTGGTCTTAGGTTTAATGAAGCAATGGTTAGTAGTGTACATTTATAAACACTCGAAATTAAAAACTCTCGAAATTTCGCATTATTGTGGGTTTAGAAAATTTGGCAGTGAAAGAGAAAGGAGAAAGGAGAAGAAAATTTAAAGCTTAAAGCTTAGTTAATTCACAAAGGCAAGTTTAAAGCTTTCGTTGCTTCTAATGTATAAAATTTACAAAGAGAAGAAGAGACTCACAAAAACACAAACTAAACGATGGGCTTAGGATTGGGCCGTTTCAATTGCAATTGAATAAGCCACTGACCCAATTGTGAACGCAAATCGGGTCCAGTCTCAGAAAAGTAATCGATCACTAGTAATTGACAACTAAAACTACTCAAGACTCGCTGATGATTCCATTACCCCTAAAAAGGTGACTTGATTCATCGTCATTCTTTGTTTGTTGTACGGACTTCCATGGCTTCACATTTGTCGTCAAGCTAAACCCATCTCAAACATCGTGGAATCTTGAAAAAATGGGTTTCTACAAAAATCAAGAAAGCAGCACTGTAAAGGTACGTTTATTACCGTCTACACGGAAACGATCCCTTTTGGAATTTGAGTATCTGAATTCAGGAAAACTTAAAACAACATGGCACCAAAGTGTCTGAAAACAATGTTAGTGCTATTGTTTGATCATGTCTTTATATGCTTTATGACTGTGTCTGTCGACTAAGACGTCTGAACCTTACAACCTTGAAAAATGTTGCTTACCAGAACCCATTTCGAACTATATATATATATATATATATATACGCATTTTAGTTTCTCATTTCGTCACTCATCTTTCCTTTCTCTTCTATCACTGCATCGGCTGAGTTCACTCTTGTTGTGGGTGTTACTGGTAATGCTCATTCTATTTTAGAATCCAGTTTTTAGAACACAGTTATCATATTCTTCGTCTTTTGGGTGGTTCTTTTTGTTTCAGGCTCTTCTTGTGAGACATGAGAAAGCTTGTTACTGTCTTGATGAATATTGTGTTACTTATTGGAGCTATTCAAGAGGGCAAGTCTCATGGAGACCAACCTTTGTCAACAATTGCGATCCACAAGACATTATTTGAGCTGAATGAAGAAGCTTATGTCAAAGCCTCTCCAACAGTTCTTGGAACTGATGTAAAAAGGATTTATAATTTCTCCTTTTTTTAATATCATGCAAACTCTTAATTTACCACCTTTGATCTAACTTTCAGTGCTTATTTTCAGGGTAGACATAGTGATTGGGTGCTGGTGGAATATAGTTCTCCCCACCCATCAGAGGATGACTGGATCGGAGTGTTTTCTCCTGCAGATTTCAAGTATATATAACACACCTTCTAGTTAAAAGGTTTAGTTTTGATATGATAAAAGCTTTGCATTGCACTTGCACCTTTTTTGTTTGTTTCTACAGTGCTTCGAGTTGTGCTGCAGAAACCGATTACATCGATCCACCTCGACTGTGTTCTGCACCTATCAAGGTATTTTCCTCATCATGTTAAAATGAGTTTTATGCTTCTTGATGAATCTTAAAGTTTCCCCCCCCCCCCCCTTCCTCATCACAGTTTCAATATGCTAATTATAGCAACCCAGACTACATAAGTACAGGGAATGCTTCCTTGAAGCTACAACTCATCAAACAGAGAGCGGACTTTTCCTTCGGACTCTTCTCTGGCGGTTTTTTCAATGTAACGATCATTCACCCACAAGAGTCTTTAGATTTACAGGTTTTTTAGCTTCTAATTTAACCAATCGTTTGGTTTTGTTTTCTCCCTGTCTGCTAGTCAAAGCTTGTGGCCATCTCAAACAGAGTAGTCTTTCAGAACCCCAAGGCACCAGTTTATCCGCGACTGGCGCTAGGCAGAGAATGGGATGAAGTAAGATTTAGAAACCCCTTTTGGTTATTCTTTCTCTAGTACTGATACAAAGAGTAAATTATGGGTTTTGTAAAACTTGTTTTAAGCAGATGACGGTGACCTGGACTAGTGGTTATGGAATCGACTTTGCAGAACCGTTTGTCGAATGGGGCATTACAAAAGAAGATCGTAAACGGTCACCTGCTGGGACTTTGACATTCGGGCGAAACAGCATGTGTGGTGTGTAGATCCGTTATAACCTCAAAACCCATACTTACAACCCACACACACATTAGTAACATTGCCGCTTGTTCTGATTTAACAGGGCCTCCTGCAAGAACAGTGGGATGGCGTGATCCCGGATACATACACACAGCTTTTCTCAAAGAGTTGTGGCCTAATTCCAAGTTTGTTATTCTGTTCTGAAATGACGAATCAGCATCACAAAGTAATCTGGTATGCATATATCAATCACTAATACTTTTGTTTGAATAATATATATAGGTATACCTATAAAGTCGGACATCGATTGTACAGTGGTGCACTCCTCTGGGGTAAAGAGTATGAATTTAACTCTCCTCCTTTTCCTGGCCAAGATTCTTTGCAGCAAGTTATGATCTTCGGCAGCATGGGAACGGTTTGATTTTTTAGTCCAAATTACATTTTCCACTCTTTTTCTTACCATATTGTTCGTTGAAATAACTGTATTCACAGCTTTCATGTTCATTGGTGCAGGCTGAAGTTGATGGCTCAAATGAGTACAAAGATTTCCAACACGCTTCTCTCAACACGACAAGGCAGCTTATTCGACTTCTACAAGGTACTGATGCAGTTTTCCACATTGGAGATATCAGTTATGCAAATGGATACCTTTCCCAGTGGGATAAGTTCACAGCACAAATTGAGCCAATTGCTTCCACTGTTCCATACATGATTGCAAGGTCTGCGTTTTTTTCTTGATAAAATTGCAACCTTTCTGGTTCGTTAAAAGTGACTGCTGGTAATCCATTGTGCAGCGGAAACCATGACCGTGTCTGGCCCAACTCCGGATCTTTCTATCATGGTCTAGATTCTGGAGGAGAATGTGGTGTACCAGCACAGACAATGTTCTACGTTCCTGCTCAAAACAGAGCCAAGTTTTGGTACTTGATTGACTATGGAATGTTCAGGTTTTGCGTAGCCAACACAGAACTAGACTGGAGAGAAGGAAAGAGCAATACAACTTCATAGAGCACTGCTTCGCATCAGTTGACAGGCAAAAGCAGCCGTGGCTGATATTCTTAGCTCATCGCGTGCTCGGCTATTCCTCAGCGAATACATATGGTGCAGAAGGTTCTTACGGGGAACCAATGGGAAGAGACAGCCTTCAGAAGCTCTGGCAAAAATACAAGGTCGACATAGCTGTCTATGGCCACGCACATCAGTACGAGAGGACATGCCCTGTTTACCAGGTTAAAAAAAAAAGAAAATTATCATATTCAGCATATCAAAGATTGTTTTCATGCCAAAAGATTTGAGTTTTCAATTACCCTTTTGTAGGGCACTTGCATGCGTTCTGAAAAGACACAGTATGAGGGTCCATTGAATGGGACAATCCACGTTGTTGCTGGAGGTGGAGCAGCCAACTTGGATTACTTCTTTATCGCGCAACCGGTCTGGAGTTTGTCCAGCGATAGGGATCATGGGTTTGTCACACTTACGGCGATTGATCACAACAACCTTCTCTTCGAATACAAAAGAAGCGACGACGGAAATAACCACGACTCGTTCAAGATTTCAAGGGAGTACAAAGACATCTTGGCGTGCGCGTTCGATAGCTGTCCGGCAACAACGCTTGCCTTTTAGGAATCTTGAAGATAATAAAAACGCTCAAGCCCTTTTGTAGCTAATGAATAAAATTGTAATGTTTTGCTACTTGGATCTTTCAATGCTTCACATGTACCACTTCTTTTTCAGCGGATACCAAAGTAGATACTGTTTGGTTTAAACTCTCTATAGTTGGTGTTTGCTCTCTTGTTAACCCATAGCATTGCAAAATTGGACATTTGGTTCATCTTGTTGTTGCATGCTTTCAATTACAGAGCACTGGAACCACTAAGGCATCCAGAGTTTAGTTTTGTGAGAAAACAGAATGGTTTGAGGTGGACAATAGAATTTTTAGAACATTATTTGACTTGGGCATCACTAGTTCACTTCGTAAAATGAACTTTAAAGAACCATCATAGTTAATCAACAAATACACATCTTACCTCGTCATACATTACAATAGCTTTCCTTCTTCTATTTTATTTCGATGTTTATTGGGGTTTATTGGGGGTTTTGTTTTTCAACAACTTTCATATATTAGACTCAAATGAGCCAAAAACCGGGAACATTGTTTACATAAAGATTTTGGGGATTTAACTTCCAAAAGTAAATAGTTATTAATAATAATTGTTTTTTGTTAGTGAAATGAATCCCATGGTAATTACACTAACAAAATTTCCACGTGTAGTCAAAGAAGAAAAAATCAAATTCTTATTTCTTATTCTCTTCTAAAAACTTCATAGAAAAAATACCCAATATTATTATTTTTAATCTCACCAAATCACAAACTATTTATTATTTTAAAAAATAAAATACAAAGTTAACAATTCAACAAAAGTATTATAAAACTCACATAACTTACTCAAAAGCCATAATTTCTTAAATTTCAAAAAATCTTTTAAAGCTTTAATTCTATACACCCTTTTTACTACAAATCTTCTAAAATCACCTAACTATTAATTCCTTTAAATCTCACCAAACACAAACTATTTCTCCATTTTAGAAAGAGAAAATCCAAAATCCGAAATTTTGTTTACTCAAAATCCAAAAAATAATTATGGGAAAAAATCCAAAATTTCTTAAATCTAAAAAATATTCCAGAATTTTATGATTACACCCCTCAGATTTTGTGGTTCAACCATTACCAAAATTAGACTATAAAAAATGAAACAAAATTGGAAGAAAATATCAAAATTCACCATCAAAAAAAGTTTTGCCAAAGGAAAAAAAACTTCACCAGTGAGGAAGGGAAGAAAGCATCTACTTTAAGAATGGAAGCGGTTTCGTTTAAGCTTTTGTTATTGGTTTCTCTACTTGTTGCTGTCATTCGTAAGTAATAACATCTAAACAGAAAAAAATTAAAGAGGAATTGTGCATGTATGACTTGTGCATGTAATAACATCTCCATTTATATATATGCAGAAAATGGAGTTAGCATTCATAATAATGAAAGTTTTCTCAACCAAAACTCTCATACACCCAAAAAACCAAGATGCAGCGGCTGCCATGGTGGTGGTGGTGGTGGTGGCCGTGATGAACGCGGTCCACCACCTCCTTGTTGTAAAAAGGATAGTGATTGTAAGCAGCCTTGCCCATATGGTGGAGGTTTTTGCAGCAACCAATGCGAATGCCTTTGTAAAATGGTTAACGTTATGGATAATAATAATGTTCATTTCCAACAGATACCGATTGCAACATGAAATGTTCAAAGCAAAGGGTATTGCAAATTGGCAATTTAAAAGAAAACTCGGTTTGTACAATTTCGCATATGATGAATGCTTCTTATTAATAAAAATAAACATATGAATATTTATTTCTTTTGCTTTAAACATTAAAAAAAACTTAACTTCCCTAAATTTAAGCAATTTTAGGGAATGTAAATGTGAATTATAGTCCATAGTGTCATGCAAATTGGCCGTTGATGAAACAAAGTCTTTTTCTAGCTTTTTTAGCTTCATCTTTAACCATTCCTTGGTTTTGCTTATTTTCCTTGTTATAGCCAAAGCTTGTGGCAATCTCAAACAAAGTAGCTTTTAAGAACCCAAATCCACCAGCTAACTCGCGATTAGCACTAGGCAGAGAATGGGATGATGAAGTAAGATTCTACAACCCTTTTGGTAATCATTTTATGTGCTATTGAACCAAAGTAGTAAAAGATGAGTTTGTCTATAGATGACAGTAACATGGACTAGTGGTTATGGAGTTAACTTTGTTGAACCTGTTGTTGAGTGGGGCATTAAAGGAGGAGAGCATAAGCTCCCACCTGCAGGGACATTGACCTTCGGCCGCAACGGCATGTGCGGTGCTCCTGCAAGAACGGTGGGATGGCGTGATACATACACACTGCTTCCCTCAAAGAGTTATGACCCAATTCCAAGTATATGCCATGTGTTTTCTCTGTTCTGAACCCATAAAATTAGCTTCCCAAAAGAATCATGGTGAAAGCGTTCTATTAATTTGCTGCATAACCTAAAAAGCTTTCTTCCAACAACAGTAAAGTTACTTCTTGAGTTATATAGATAATGGGGGGACTAAGTAAATTACACGCATGCCTTTGTTACTATCACGCTTCTTCTTCTTTGTATCTTTCTCAATTCATTCATCACAACTAAAGATCTTGAAGAGATGATTCTTCATCATCCAAGATTTTTGGATTAGGTTTAATGAAGCAATGATAATTGTTTTATAAATCTATTAATCGACGATTTAATACATAAGTTGCACCAAAAAAGAGTTTTAAATTGATAGGAAACTTTAAGTCATCTCTACCCAACAATGACAAACAACATACTGTATATGAATAATATGTAAAAGAAAGAAAGATTTTAAGAGAAAAAGAACGTTAAAAAATTGCCGCTATAAAACGAATTTTCTTCGTTGTATGTTTCGATTAGGTTCTCCCCAAGAAATCTATTGTGATTTTTGGTTTTTTTTTTTCATGTTTTGAGGCAGTTTTTGACCTCATTCTTTATTCATCACTCCATATCTCTGAGGCTTTCACTTGTCAACCACAACTTCTTCTGGACAATGAGTATGACATTGTCTGAGTCTTGGTCTGATTCTGGTGCTGTCTTAGTTTCAACTGCTTCCCAATGCAAAGCCTTGAGATACTTCTTCACGAGGTCGATCACGGATTGTTTGTCTCTTATGAGTATGAAACCGCTTGGACGAAGTATACGGTCCATCTCCAACAACAAATCCTCTGCACTGCAACTTCTCTTCCTTATATCAGATATGATGTCCCAAGCGTGGAGTAAATCGTAAGTCCTCGGGTAAGTTGAGAACGCTTCACACCTGCGATATGAATAATATGATAAATCATAGAGGAACATATATTACTAATGGATTTTGATGAAGTGAAAGGTTAGAGGAGAAACAGACCAGCTGTGAACAGCTCCCATCAGGCCTCTGTCGTATATTAGTTTAAGTGTGTTTGGTCCATTTTCAGGAACAACATTCATAACCCAAACATCTTTTTCTTTCAGAGCAGCAGCAAAGGAACCCATGCTTGCTTTCATGTCCATTATGTTCCTCACAGTGTCTGATTGAATTTTTGGACTCAACAGATCCCAATAAGTATCTACTCTCTGCCTCCAAGTTTCCTGTATGGGCAACCAATAATATAAGGTTAATATAATCTTTATACTATTTGAGCTTCAATTGCAACAAATAAAAAATGTTATGGGTATAACATACCGTATCCTTCTCAAACATGTCAGTGGAATAGCCAAAATCAGCTAGCCGAGGAGGAGGAGAGGTTAATCGAGCAGGCCATGGAGCCAATGCACTTCCCTTGGATTTGTGGTCATCTAATAGAAACATTGAAAAATGAAATAGTAAGCCTATATGCTCACAGATATGCAATGTCACAAGCGTGTGGAGTTATTTATACGGAATTATATGCTCTGTCGATTGAATGTAACGAGAAGAATGAAAACTCACGGTCACTGTATTGAGTAATGCAGGCTTCCATGTTTACACCATACACAGCATCGGGGTCACTGTCAGAATTGCAAAGAGGAGGCTGGGTTCCAGGTTCTCTTTCCAAATAACAATCGTTTGTCAAAGGTTTTTGCCAAATTACAGTTTGATTCCTTTTGGCAGCTATTGTCCAACACATACGCCCCACAAGAGCACTCATTTCTCTCCATATTCTGAGGTCCTCTTCATCTTGTGCATACGCTTCTGGAGATGAATATGCGAAATAGCCACCAGGTCTTAGCACCCTGTCTAGCTCGAGAAGAAGAATACCATCTCTTTGAAGCCAATCGATTCGGCAACGCGAACAGTGAGCAAGTTCAAAGGATCTGCTTGGGTATGGGAGCCTCTTGGTCCCTAGAACGCCGAGGTATGCAGGAATCCCTCTCTCAAGAGCAAATTGGATTTGGTTCTGATGAACATCATTGGGTGCCAAGGACATTGTCATAATTTCTGATGCAAGAAGATAACCTCCAAAACTTGCAACACCACAGCCAACATCAAGAAATGTCCTCAGCCTTCCCCCATTGTTCAAAATATTGTTTGGAAATTTAAGCATCTGCAATATAAAAGATTCTTATCAGTAATTGAAGAAGGCTTATCTCTGTTGCACAAAAGAATTAGTAGCTGCTTTACATTTGCCATTGATGCAATATACTTATCAGCACCATAGTGAAAATGTGTGCCTCCGCCAGGGAAATTGATTTTTTCTCCTTTGACAACCATCCAGTTTTGGTCAGACTTCTCATGTGCAAGGTGAGTATGAGGAATATTCACTTTCCAAACTTCGTCTCTGCTTTTCGGCCATTTGATTGGAATCTAGACATATTGACAGAAAATTAGCTTTAAAATATGTCAAGACACTGATTACATCAACAGAGCTAGAGAAATGACCCACCTTATATCCTGGAGGAGGAGGAATCAAACAGTTAAATCGCCTTTCAGGAGGAGGACAATGGCGTTCATAGTGCTCCATCAAAGACAAGTCCAGCTTCAATCTCATTTGGTATATGAGATTCCTATCTAAGCAAGGAATAAGCTCAGAGTGCCGATCATCACACACCTTTGTAAGAAAAAAAGGAGTAATAACAATATTAAACCCCACAGTCTAATCATCCATTGGAATAAAGAAGAGTAAGAATAGTCTAATAACTCACAGGAAAGCTTCTTGGTGTGAAACCATTGCCTCCATCTTCTACATAAAACGAGCTAGAAGTCTCATCCTTCTTGGTATCATCGTCATCCCCACTCAACCCAAGTTTCCTCCCATACTCAATAGCTGATGCCCCATGGTTAGAGGACCCAAAGAACAAATATACAAAAACAAGTACTACCGCTGCAACACAGACCAAAACAATCACCGGCTTTTTCTTCCCTCCATCTGATCTCCCCCTCATCGCCTTTTGTGTATTAGTGATTACTCAAAAAAAGAGATTAAAAAAAAAAAAATCAAAAGTTCAATATCAAGAACCATTTATTAGTTTTCCAATTTCAACAATGCTGGTTAAGTCTACAAACACAGGACAAGCATCCAAGAACCAACTATCACGAAGAAATGATCATCTAGGCCTCACCAAGTATTATACAATCACCAAAGATAACTACTAACACTTAGTTTTCACACTAACATAAACACAATTCCCATAACGAGCTTGTTGGAGTTAATTCCTTTCTATCAAAAGATTAGATCCTGGCTCATGCCATTAACAATCTTAAAGTTGCTAATCATGGATCTGATTCAACAAATACCGAAACAACAACAACAACAACAACACAAAAACTACAATACGACACAAATTACGCACAAAACAAAATCGATTTTGGAAATTCCAAAAAAGTTACTCAAAGCGTAAACGAATTACAAAAAACCTAGTTGTTCCGAATCAAGCTTCAGAGATACAAGACGAATGGAAATGGAATGAAGAGAAAAGCGAATCAAAAGAACTCACTCACCAGTTAAGCTTCGAGATTTGGAAGAGACGAATACAAAAACAAACAGATCAAGATCGAGCGAGAGAGAGAGAGAGAGAGAGAGAGAGAGAGAGAGAGATGCAAAAATCGTATAAGGTCATTCAAATAGTGAGAGAGAGTAAGATTCGGATCTGTAGTAGAAGAAGTTTCAGAGACTGCTTCTTCTTCTTCTTCTTCGTCTCCTTTGGTCCTATATTGGGATTCGTACGAACAAAAGCAAACAAAGAGAAAAAAAAAAAAAAAGCGTCAAATTCGTTTTTTTTTCTTTTTTTAATTATTATTCCCATTGAAAATTTTCGTTGAATTTAAATTATTTTTTTAGTAGTAATTATTTCTGTGTGTGTGTCGGTGATATATATTTATTTTTGTTTCTGTAACATGAAAATATGAGATTTTAGTTTTATGATTTAATTCATGACTTTGTTTGTTTGCCTCTAGGGATCTACGCTTTTTTATTAGTGAGTGAATGTTACTAGGAAGAAAATAAATGACTCGATTTGGTTACACATGTCCATTAGTTGACTTATTTCAATTTTAATACTCCTTTAGTTGGTTAGTTAAGTATGCAACCAAAGTTAGGAGAATGATTTATATAATTCATTATACTACTAGAGTTTAAATGTTTAGATATTACATTAAATAACATGTTATTTCGAAATCTTTTCCTAAATCGTTTCCATTTGTAAATGGTTTGTTTAAGAATTTTGTATGTATATTGTTCGTTGTATTGAAATGGGTATTTTAAATTTTATTCGATCATCAAGATATGTTTAGGTATATCACAACTTTGTTCACTACTACAATTTGTCAATCAAAAACATAAAATTTGTTAAGACCTTTTAGTCCCATAAATGTTATCATTGTTAGGTTTTTTTTTTATTAATGGCCAAACTTTGATATACCGAAATGGACAAATACCAAAAAAAAACATACCTTTTTGAAAGTGGTGGTTGATCCATCCACATGGTTTTTTTTTTTTTTTTTTTTCTTAAGAGTCGAATTATACTAAACTTTAATTTTTCTAAATTTGAAAATTTAGTAAACAACTTCACGAATAAAATCACTAAGTTGAGAGATATGTACAAATCGGTTATGGTCTAATTCTAAAGGCCTGTAAATGAAAATGGGCTTTATAACATTTTGAGTAAAACATTCCAAGAAGAGAGGAGGAAACAACACAAGTAGAGAGATGATAGGGCAGAGAGATCAAAACACGTCTTGAAGATCTAACGAAGGAGAAAAAGACTTTAATGTCTTTTAGGCAAAACTTGTTGTTTCGTTTTCTTTCTTTTTCTTTCTCCATTATCGTTTTGAGCAGAGAGAGCTTCTGAGTTCTGACATGAAATGACAAATGAGACGGTGAGAGCGTGTGATGCCGTCTGACCCGCTTTGGTCCACCTACATATCAAATCTTCTTCACTCTTTCGTGTATTGTATATTTGTATTGTATTGTTTCCTTTTTTATCTTGTTGTTACCACTATTTTGGTCATATCATATGATAATTATTGACTAACAATTTATATATTGATACTAATTTGTAATATATATGACTAGGAGCAAATTTGTTGTCTTCTTACTATTTCCACGTGCACTCGTATGCGTTATGTTTCATTCATTCATCGTCAATGTATAACGTTAGATACGTACGACATAGTTTTTTGCAGTTCTTACATTTTATAACATCCCAAGATTCAAAACTATATGATATTTGATCAATAAAGATACCATATTGTTTGTAAAAAGAAAAGAAAAGAAAAAGTTTTTTACATTGTTAAGTATGATGAACAAAATATCAATACTTTATAAATGAGATAACGAATTTAACCCATGTAGTACTAATATATAGTTTTGTGAGATAAAGAAAGGCAAAGACTTTTTAGTAACAAGGACAAGAAACTGAATGATTTGCCAATTCCCTACCAATTTAGGACACTACAAAGGAAGGCATACGTACACACAGAGCCATGAAAAGACATGAACAACCATTTGATTCTGCATATCTTTCTTTTGTCACGTCTTATCGAAACTACAATAATATTCACAACTTATATTATAAGTTATTGGTCTTCTACGATTAGAGAGAGGCCACTTATGAAGAAATTTACACCGGAAATATCAACTAGTATAAGACAAACCAAAACTAATACTAGTATATTACTACTAATCAATATTTGGTCTTGCTGTGAGATCCGTAAATTAAAAAATTAACATAAAGTTCGTGTCCGATGCACACCCAAAACATTAGCTAGTGCTTGTATAAATTTTTCAATATATGCATAACAAACAATTTATAGGGTTTTTGTTTATAACTATAGAAATGAGGTTCTTCTTGATCATCAAAAACTTCGATATAAGTACTATCAAGTTTTATAAACCATAGAAAAAACCAACATAACTACAACTTTGTCATAGTTAAATTCTGTAAAAGGAGCGTATTATTTTCATTTTTTCATTTTTCTTAAGATAATACGCTATAATTACTCTTAAGATAAAACTTATGACTTGTCTAATGTATGTATCATAAATATACTAATCCATTTTTTATGTGAGGCAAAGCAAAAGGATTACAAATTTATTTAACACAAGAAAAATAAACAAAATCTTTAGCTTGCCAAATAAAGGATTAGGAAAAGAAAAGGGCATGTGGCTTTAAAACAACTTGTGCATGTTCGTCATTGACAAAATACTATAAAAGTTGTAAAACAAACGTACTTCATTGAAACATCTTACTCATGACTTAGTACTACGTACTAATTAGGGCTAGTAGAAATCACCGGCTGAGGCGGTGGTAGTGGTGGAGGAGGTCGCTTCCGCTTCTTCTTTTCATAGCTGATCCCACGTGCTTTAGCCTGCGAGTCACGCACTTCCCTTAGGTAGAGTCGAACGGCTCGTGCACCAAAAGGGTTCGTCTCTGGTGAACCACCGTTCTCTTCGAAAGCAGCTCTAAGACGACCAATGAGTGCGTCAAGACTACCCCAGGCTTGTCGGAGTGGACAGGCACATGGTGCTGGTGGGTTTGGGTGTCCAAAGAACGGACATAGGTTTGTGTGAACCTGGAGATACAAAGATCAAAGTTGGCGTTATAACTTCAGCATCTTTAATCTATATATAACGTTCTAGCTAGGATGATTCATCATAGAATATACATATATACAACTATCATCATAGACCATATCTTTTATACTTAAAAATTATTTGCTTATAATGATTGAGTTAACTTTATGAATAAATACAATTAACAATCATATTGAAAAACTATTTGTCGGTGATATATAGATGAAAATATATGATAGATTAACCTTAAGTAAGATTAATAAATGTATATCATTGAGACTAACCTCTCGTTTGTGAGAATAATAATACAATACATCAATAATAACCTTATTCGATTTTAGGTTTTTAGGTCAAAGAAACCCAAATTAGAGAGATAGGGTTTATTCATTTGGATCTATATCAGTGGAAACTTATCACAAAGTGTATCTTGATGTAAGAGATATATTAATATATGTATGTGTAAATTTTTTTACCTTGGTCTTGCCGAATTGGTCGAGGTACCTGAGGAATTCAAGAACATGAGCACCACTGCAACGAGAGAGAGAAAGTGGTGGACGGTGGTTGCGTAGGTACTGTCCAAAAGTGTTCCAATCTCTTCTCTTCTGATTCTCGTACCTGCTCAGCTGGTTAGTCCCGGAGCCACCGGAGGAAGAGGAGGAAGATGAGGAGGTGGTCGTGGTGGTGGCTGCAGCTGCGGCGGCGATCATGAGGTTTGTGTTATGTGATATGTTTGTTGCGCCCATAAAGCCGAGGATAGGATCCATGATATCAAGATCTGATAATTCAAGATTTGTATCTAGGTTATGATGAAGATATGAGAGGAGCTTTATGAGTTCTTTAAGTTGATAAGGGAAGATGGTGGGAGGAAAAAAGAAGAGGAGAGGGTATCGGAGTCATTGCTGTAAAGATTGAGTTGAATGCAAACATATAAATTAGGAATTATATATATTTGTTTCTCATTTAAGCTTTTGCTTGACTTGACTAATAACAGTGGAATAGATAATAATGCAATGTATAGAGATTGAGTTAAAACACTACTAAACATGTTACGTATATATCTTAAATCACTATTGTTGTGTAAGAAGACTTTGAATAGTTTCGGCTGATGAGGATTAAAGGGGTATGGTTGGTTAAATTATAAACTATATAAGATATAAATTATAGTTTTTACTTGTTCAAATGCTTAAAGTTTTCTTTTTAGTAAAAAAAATGTATGATGGTTTTTATCAAATTTACACATTCACAAATGTTTAGTGTGCCATGCCATGTTCTTGGTTTGGCACCGAATAGCAAACACTTTTGGTATACGTAATAGGTCATTCAAAACACATTTTTGTGCGTGAATGTTGTTAATATATGATAGTGCAAATAAGTTTGCTTAGTGTCCGTGGTAGACAAAATCACATATGTTCCGGCTCGTATGGTCTTTCAAACAATAGTGTCTATAATATATGCAAAGTGCGGAATAATCATAACCACAAAAACTCACTCCAAACCAATGGACAAGTGAGTTCTTGAGAGGTAGGAATAGGATGGTCTCTTACACCAAAAATGCAAACAATTTATAATGTAATGATTCATTTTACCACACTTCTATACAAAATCTAGACAAATACAGTAGTTTATAGTTAAATTGGATGGAATCAAATCAAAGTGATCAACGATATACACAACTAGTTAGAGGTAGAGAGACTAGGGTGGGCAGAGAAAGGAATATAGTGACGAGTGAAGACGATGGCTTTTTGGTTCTTGGTGATGAGTGGACAACACCTGCTGGAGTGAAAAGACGAGATTGCTCCTGAAAGAAGTTAGGGGGCCAAAGGGGTAACTTGTAGCAGAGGTACAAAACTGGATGGGGACAGAGAGGGAAAAAAGAAGAAGAAGAGAGAGCAGTGGAGTGTGATTTTTGAATGGTTTACTTAATAAAGGAAGGAGAAATGTTGAGTCAATCAATCAAATCTTACTGTTCTATTTTCATGTCATTGTGGACCATGTTATATTTTTTTTTCACTTTGGTTTCTTTCTTTTTGGATATTTTCTCTCTTTTACAAAAAAAAAAAAAATAGACTTATAATTTTTCTTAAAGTTGTGTTTATTTAGCAACCGAAGTTAACTTTTTACAGAATATATAATGATAATGCTATTGTTATTGGAAAAAAAAAAGAGAGAGAAATCTAGAATATAAATCATATTGAAATTATTAGTTTTCTAGCTATGGTATAGATTGTACAAACCAGTTTTTTCATTTGACCATAGAAATTATTGAGCTTATAAAGTTAAAATTTGTTAAGAGAGGCTATTATATAAGAGTCATTATATAAGATTTGTTAAGATTTATTATATAAGTCATTATATAATATTTGTTAAGAAATGATGGTCTAAGAGCAACCTCATTGCAGAGATTTAATTATGGTATCTTAAGAGTAGTTTATTAATTAATTGAATTAGTAGAGAGTATAAGATATGATTGCTTGTTATATGTTTTTTTGGTTGATTAATGGTAGGTTCTTAAGTATAGTATTTTAGGAAAAAAAATAATTATTAAAAACATAATAATATTATTAGATTATAAAAACTTTAAAATATACAAAACATAATAAGAATTTAATTATTAAAAACATAATAATATTATTGAATTATTAAAATTTTAAAACATACACGTATCTGTATCTTACCCTCTCTTCTATGAGAAATGAATTATTGTTTTTTTTTTATATTTCTTCTTCTAACCAATAGAAACGTGACATGTAGCTGTATCTTACCCTCTCTTCTATATCTTCTCCAAGATACGATATCTTGGTAATTAATTATGTTTTTGCTTTAAATTTTTTTGATTAATTAGCTAAGATATAACTTAAATCTCTGCAATGAGGTTGCTCTAAGATCATTAGATTTTTTATTTTTTGGATTAGGGTTATCTTCATATCCTCTATTTAGTTATTAGACTTGTACTCACTCTATAGTTTTGTTTTAATACATCTAGTCTATAGTTGATGGCTCTTGATTCCATTAATAGCAATGACATGAAGCTTCTCTTTATGCTACATTTGGTGGTGGGGATATCTTTATCTTATATATGCTATAGGCTATATAGCCCACTTATTTTATTCTAATTTCTAACCAAAAAGAGTAATTGTCCACTGAATATGTAACCCTATCATACACTTTTGTTATTTTTATAAAAGAAGTCTATAATACATATTAGTCATAAACTCATATGTATGTTTTTGTCATATATATACAAAAACCGGAATTGAATGCATCCCTTCAACAACCAAAGCTAGCAAATTTAAAGCACTCCCGGAATCCATAAACAATAGTTTAAAGAGCTCTGGAGTCCATAAACAATAGATTCAACATGAAATATTTTTGAGAAATAAAAACTTTATACAAACTACATCCATACAAAAAACCAAACAAAACCCAAGAACTAAACCTAAATATACTATTGTTATGTATTTTGGTTTTTGCCATTACAGCTTTATATATCAAATAATTAAAAATCCATCAATAGTGCTAAATTTAAAAAAAAAAAAAAACAAGTAGATGTGACAAAGTTCTTTGTTTCTTGATAGTTGATACCCAAAAAAAAAATAAAGTTCTTTGTTGCTATCCTCAAAATTCAAAAGTTACATATGTATCCAACGAAATATAATCAAAATATGTCCATCTTTGTTTTCTATATATAGGAGTATGATTTAACAATTGAGACATACAATAATTGCTCAATGTACTTATCGTGGAAGCAAGGAGAGCTATAGTCTCATATTGATAACGAGTACGATAATTGAGTAATTAGCGGAAAAGTTATCTGAACACAAACAGTTAACTTATTAACCCATTCAACTTTTTTCCGTACAATGATTAATTATTGCTGTTCTTGCTTTTTGGAACCAAACCAATCCCTAAAACGATTCGTTACAAATAATTTAAATTAAACAGTATTAATCAAACACTCGTTACATTCTTTATTCCAAAAATTACATTTGAACTGTTCAAACTTTTATAAGACAACGAGTATGGTATTCATTTTTTTTTTTGTTGGAGCAAAACTTAGTTTCAATGGTTGAAAAAAAATCTATATCTCACTTCTCAGAGAGACAATGAAGGAGGAAAAATAGTCCCATGGACTTTGAAACAGTCTCTCTTTCAGACAAGGTAAAAGCCTCATAACCTTATTGATGTCGACGTAACATCCTCATTTCTTTGCTTTGATATTCTTCAAACAAGACACGGGACATAAACCGCATCAGATGGAGCATCTAGATCATATTGCACACTGTCTACTGCTTCGTTGTTACCACTATTTGTTGAAGCTGGAAGAGAAGAGACGATGGTCAATTCAGATGCTTTCTTGACAGGTTAATGCAAGAGCAAAAGATTATATAATGCAAGAGTAGATAAACCAGAGACATGTGATCAATTTAGATGCTTTCTTGGCAAGTTAATCATATTTGTCAGCAACTAAACATTAATGTATTCTTATGCCTAACTATTTGAGGCGCAGGGCGTGGTCCTGTGGCTTGGGATTATCCAATCAACATCCACAAAACTAGAGGTTTCATGTCAACAAACATATAAAAGCATGCAGAGGATTATTGTTGTATGTAGATTAAATATTTTAATTAAACTTCCATATTAGGAAATTAGAACGTTATCATTATATAACGCCCAAACATCAATAGAGCGCGTTATAAAATACTTATTTTGGAAATTACATTCATATTTCATAACTGTTCATTATCTAACGTCAAAGTAGTTAAAGAAAAAAAAGAAAAATAAACACCTTAAAATTTCTCGAAATCTCATATTTGTGGTAACATGCAACAATGTACCAGCAATGACTACTCCACTATTCCTTGTATTTGATACAAATGAAAAATAAATAAAAAAAATAAAGAAACTTACACATATATATGCATGGTTAGGTTTCAGAATCTGGCTCCTTCTCGTTGTTCTGCTCAGGTTCTGACAAATCAGACGGAGGTGGAGGAGCGATAGGTGAGTCAGAAGCTGTTGGATTCGATGATGTTGTTGAAGTCGAACTATAACATTTAAGCAACCTCTCTTTGTTTTTAGTCCACCAATCTTCTGCTTGCTGCTCATCAAATCTTTTTTTACTAAACCTAACTCGTCGGAAGATCTTGTTACCATGCATGTCTACCTCATAAGTCACATAAACACCAGGCTCAAATTGTTCTTTGCTTTCTTTCCCACTTGTTCTTGATGATGAAGCTTCTGAACTCTGTGGCCTTGATGAATTCGATGTCTCCGTTATACTTGAGTTGGATGATACTTTTTGATCTTGGTATGTATTTGTAGAAGAATATGTTTCTTGTTGTTCTTGTCCCGAAGTTGTAAGTGTTTCTGATGTTTCGTTTGCGTTTAGATAAGCTTCAGCTTGAGAGTTAATAGATTCAAATGCTTCACTCTCTTCTGGAGGTAATTTATCCTTTAACCCTTTCAACTGAAACATGAAAACAAAACATAACTCTCCAATGAATATGTTTTTGGGTGAAAAAAATTGTATTTAATCTCTTTTTGAGTTTATGAGATTTTATTACTAAACCAGAGATGGAGCAAACCTGTTCTGCTACAGACTTAAGTGCTTCTGTTGCAGCTTTGTGCTTGGACGATTGTTTTGCAGCTACTTCATAAGCTTCTTTAGCTGCTTTTTGGAATCTCTCAATCTCTGTCCCTTGATTATTACATCTTTGTTTCAAATTCTTGACCTAAACATTTTGAGAAAGTTGTTTCAATAACAAGCTAGGTTTATTATATTGTTAGTGTTTTGTGACTGAACAAAGAAATGATAAATAAAAGATACCTGACTCTGCAACTTTGTCATTTCTTGGTTCATAACTTCATTAGTCTTTTTCAAACTATCAACAACACTCCTTGAAAATCCAGAAGTGCGTGGAGGGCTCTGTCTTCTTGCATAAGGAGAGGAAGATCTTACAGGTGGAGGTGGTGATGGACATGATTGTCCAACAACAAGTAGACGTGGTGGAGTAGTACTAGGAGCAACAACAGGTTTGAAAGCATTTTGAATGGCGCTAAGCGGACTCGGGAAAGCAATGTCTTTAAGTTGCTGGAGAGATGGAACTTGTGAGGCACGTGCATTAGAAGACTCAGGTATGGATCCATGCTTTAACGATGACCTAACTGAATTTGTAGCTGCGGACAAGAGAACTTTCGATGTTCTTGTTGTTTCTTTATCAATTCTTACCGATCCATCTACTGACCGACTAGAAGATGCAACATTGTTTCTGTTTGCATTAGAGGTATAACCAGACTCTGCTGCTTTAAGTTTACTGTAACATGCATCACATACTCGATGTGGTTTCCCTGGAGTTGGAGCTAATGCTGCTTTTAAAGCTTTCTTTGAGCTACAAGCATGACAATGGACTAAACCACAGTTATAACAATTATGTCTCTTTCTAGTAAATCCAAATGCTTGACGACATCCAGAGCATATTGATTGATCCGCTCCAGATACCCACTTATGTATACATATACTCGATGTGAAGTTTGAGCCGCAAGATAAACTTTTCACATGCCTGTCTCTCAAGGCTTCAACTAAAGTTGGTGTTCTTTTATCCTCTGTATCTCCATGTCCTAATCTTCCATTAGCACCTCTTCCCCATGTGAAGACTTCACTTCTAGAAGTCAAAACCGCGACATGCTGATCACCGCACGCGATTTCTTCGACGAATTCTCCAACCAATCGATCTTGTACTAAGCAAGGTAACTTACCATCAGATACTGAGTTACCTAGCTGACCATGTGCAGTACCACCCATAGTAAAAACATGTCCTGATGTTGTGAGTGCGACTGTAAATGTATGCCCACAAGCAATCTTATGAAAGTTGTAGTCAATAAGAGAAGAGACACAAGTTGGAAACAAGTAAGTCTCTTTGTTTCCATGTCCTAACCTGTTTTTGTCACCATCACCCCAAGTAAACAACTTCCTAGAAGACATACTTGTACCGGTCTGACCCATAACTTCTACAATCGCCGCGGTATGCCAAACACTACAAGCTACCTTCACTGTTTTTAAACCGTTCAATGACTGTACTTCCTTAGGATATGAAACACTTTCTCTATTTCCATGACCTAAAACTCCAAATGCTCCATCACCAAACGTGAATAGCTTCCCGTTTGCAGTAGCTACAGCTGAGTGCCATGTTCCACAAGCAACTGAAAGCACTTGAAGACCTTCTAGTGGACCAGAGACTCTTTTAGGTATCCAATGGCTAATA